TCATTTTTTAGTAAGTATTTAATAAAAATAATAATTAAGAGAAGTAATTGCTTTTTAATTTGTTTAGTACAAATCTATTAAAAGGAGCTTATGAGCACCCCTATTTGACTATTTAAAAAGGGAGATAAGTCATGTAAGTGGTTTGAACGTTTGCTTATCTTTGCTAAGTTAAATTGTAAGAGAAAGAGGACTCGGCTTTCACAGTGGTTTAAAAACCAAAGGAAAAAGAATATACAAGCGCGTGGGGGTGATGTCTACAGAATAAAGATAATCCAACCGCAGCTACGGTAATCATTTTGCAAAACAACAATCAAGTCAAAAATGCAAGAAAGTTAATTTTTTTTTTAACTTTAAAAAAAATTATTATGGTCGGCTGTGGGCCCCTAAATGGCGTGGGCCCCCCCGCATTGCGGGGTCTGGCGGCACTGTAGTTCCGCCCCTGTGTAAGAGGTGGTAATTTGATGACACATGGAGTAACTTGTTTCACTTCAATCGAGTCCATGGATCGAATTTCTATAAATATAAAAGTTATAGCATGTTTCAGAACGTGGGAAAATGTATTGTTCGTTGGTTGGGTAAGGTCTGTAGTTGATGTTTCTTGCTCCAATGGAGGGGGTGAGCGGGGTAAATCGGCTGTATAACACAAAGTCGTCATGTCATTTCTCGCTAGTATCCAAGACACATGGGGCAGATGAAGTAGAGTTCTTCTGTTTCTTCGACATTGGTATATAAAGAAATATTGAGGTAGATAGTATGCATCCGCTTTAGTTTTCCCCAACATGAGCCAGGTACTCTCAGAGCTGAGTGGACTCCTACGGACTCAAATCCGGGGTTCGAACTCGAGACTTTTGTGGGTTGCGGTGGTGCGCTCTACCATCAGTGCATACTGTCAGCGCAGAAATATAATACGAAAAAGCAAAACAGGCAATCTGAGAAGACTTCATTTTTTAGGGCAAGGTAGATAAAAATAGGAACTTGAAGATTTACCGGACAATAAAGGAATTCCGCCCATCACTTATTATTGGATTCTGGTTAAACTGTAACGAGGACTGTATTCACGAAGGCCTGCAGTACACCCCCACCCCCTTTCTTGCATTGAAATTTACGGGAGTATGTGATGAGAAAGCTTTACATTTTCAACTATCTAATGGATATAGTGGTCTTCTTAGGTCATCAAACACACACACACACTCATTTTATTTCGTACAGCATAATACTGGGTACCCATTTTGCTGAGACAGCTCGTTACGTTGTAGCCTCCAGTGCAGAGCTCTAAGTGAACTCGGAAGCGTCAAGATGGCTATTTGTTTTTAGGCAATTTATCTGAAACTCCCGTCACTTGGTACATTCGCTCGAAAACTGTTATCTGTTTTCTTAATTATTATCCTTGTTCAAATTGTTATCTTCGCTACAACAAATAACAAGGGAAATATTAAAGCACACACCCGCACCCATACACCCACACACGCAAAACAGGAAAGAATACATTGTGTGTGAAGGGATCATCTATAAATGACGTCATTTTAACGACGATTTAAACTCCTACCGCATCGTGACACATCGTCAAAAAAAGTCAGACTTTAATAGCGTTACAGTCACAGTTTCTCCTCTCCTCTTTATCACAAATGTCCGAACCTCCCCCTACCCTCACTCCCAAAGTGTAATGTCATTCATGGACGATGCTCCCCACAGTAAACTGTTGAAAATAATCCTCTTCATGCAGGTTTATGAAATCGTGTGACGAAGATTGTAGGGTTACAATCATATAAAAACAAAATAAAAACGAATAAAACGCCTGATTCACAATGGATAATGTACCAGGAGGTACAAAGCGGATACGTCTAACTGATTTACTGAACAGGAAGTTAGCCTACACTCCATCAACACCACACACTTACATCCCACACCAACAAAACAAATAACCTACACTACATCAACATCACACTTACAACCCACACCAACACAACAAATAACCTACACCACATCAACTCCACACACTTACATCCCACACCAATACAACAAATAGCCTACACTACATCAACACCACACTTACATCACATCACCAACACAACAAATAACCTACAACACATCAACATCACACTTACATCCCACACCAACACAACAAATAACATTCACTGCATCAACATCACACTTACAACCCACACCAACACAACAAATAACCTACACTACATCAACACCACACACTTACATCCCATCACCAACACAACAAATAACCTACACTACATCAACACCACACACTTACATCCCACACCAACACAACAAATAACCTACACCACCTCAACTCCAAACACTTACATCCCACACCAACACAACAAATAACCTACACTACATCAACACCACACACTTACATCACATCACTAACACAACAAATAACCTACACTACATCAACATCACACACATCCCACACCAACACAACAAATAACCTACACTACATCAACACCACACACTTACAACCCACACCAACACAACAAATAACCTACACTACATCAACACCACACACTTACATCACATCACCAACACAACAAATAACCTACACTACATCAACATCACACACATACCACACCAACACAACAAATAACCTACTCTACATCAACATCACACACATCCCACACCAACACAACAAATAACCTACACCACATCAACACCACACACTAGCACCCCACACCAACACAACAAATAACCTACACCACATCAACACCACACACTTACATCCCACACCAACACAACAAATAACCTACACTACATCAACACCACACACTTACATCCCACACCAACACAACAAATAATCTACACTACATCAACACCACACACTTACAACCCACACCAACACAACAAATAACCTACACTACATCAACATCAAACACATCCCACACCAACACAACAAATAACCTACACTACATCAACACCACACAATAACATCCTACACCAACAGAACAAATAACCTACACTACATCAACACCACACACTAACATCCCACACCAACACAACAAATAACCTGCACTATATCAAGATCACACACTAACATCCTACACCAATACAACAAATAACCTACACTACATCAATACCACACACTAACATCCTACACCAACAGAACAAATAACCTACACTACATCAACATCACACTTACATCCCACACCAACACAACAAATAACCTACACTACATCAACACCACACAATAACATCCTACACCAACAGAACAAATAACCTACACTACATCAACACCACACACTAACATCCTACACCAACACAACAAATAACCTACACTATATCAACATCACACACTAACATCCTACACCAACACAACAAATAACCTACACTACATCAACACCACACACTAACATCCCACTTCAACACAATTTAAAACAAACATAAAACTTTTATCCTGCATGTAGAACGTGAAACTAAAACAACATTGCAGCGTGTAAATAAAGCACTAGATTTACACCTACACCGGGGTCATCTATAAAATAAGTAACGTCAAGATATTTGACGTTTTTTACCTCCCCTCCCTGCCGATCGTCACTAATCTTCGTTAAAAACCAGGACCAAACACCTAAAATGACGTCACTCCTCAGCCCATCGCAACTCTTTAAAATATAATTTATTTAAAAAAAACAGCAATTTTTTCTCTAAAATACTTACTGAGCATGGATAGCGTTGAATATAGGTCTCGATTGGTTTTCATATGTAGTTTTTTATTTCGGTTTCTAACAATATTGCAAAGCGTGTCGTAACACTTCCTGAAATCCCCCTCCATCGCCTCCATAGTGTGACGTTATTTATGGACGTTGGGGGGGGGGGGGGGGGGAGACGCAAGAAATAAACTGTGCTTGTTGAATAAACCGATCAAAGCTCGCGTCAAAATTAAATGATCAGACTTATCATAGATGTAGCCTACCCTTCTGTCGGGCTTTTACCTCCGGCCTCCCTTAATGGGGGGGGGGGGGGGGGGTGGGACGACGACGACTGAGCATTTGCTTGACTTTCGTGTTACAGCATGATATAGAAGTCATCCATTGATGATGCATGACACACACACACACACACACACACACACACATATATATATATATATATATATATATATATATATATATATATATATATATATATATATATATATATATATATATATATATATATAAACTTGTTCAATAATGTAAACGCGGTATTTTACAGTTAAAGCTACAGAAAAGCATGATAGGCGCCAATAGCTGTAACCATACTCCGCTTTTTTTTTTGTTGAATGTGATAGAAGTCTCTATTTTACATTCCTTAAAAATAAAACTTAAGAAAAGCCAACATTTTCGCTAAGATGGTAGGAGTAAATCTTTGCATCATCAAAAAAAAGAAATAATGTTGAGGAATTCAGGAAAGGGGCACTTGACATTTCCGGAGAAGGGTGGAACAATACACGTTCTACATGAATTTAAAATATATATATTTTTTTATTATTTCTCCGGAAAGGGGTTGGGGTAGACGTGCTTTTGGGGAGGGGCCGGCTTATTGCCACTGTGACATAACATATGACATATATAGTCTTTCTGATTGATCAACGTCTGTATTTTAAAATACTTTAAAAATAGGCTTAATTAAAAGAAGCATGAGCACTGATGCTTTGTTGTTTCACATAGCTGCGTGGATAGTACATTAAGTATGTTATGTTACCCTTTAATACAGGCTACTATTTATTTTTTCATAACATTCGCCCCCTTTCCCTTCCCTTCGTATAGTTCTATAGACAGATGCTAAAGATAGCGCGTCAAAAGAGATGAATGAAACGATTAATTTATTAATTTCGCTTATAACAATTTAAAAAAGTAAATAATAATTTAATCTAGCATGTTTCAGAATTAGGGTTAAAGAATCGCTAACAAAATTTAGTTATTAAATTTTACTAGTAAAGTTAAGAATTTTTAGTTTATTTATTTGTAAAAATGCTTCAATGTTTATTTTGTGTTTATTGGGTCGTTGCTGTAAGCTAGCAAACGTCACTTCCGCCATGGTAGGGTTTGTCCGACTCATCGATCGAGCTTAAATATTTTCCAAAAATGTCGGGCAACGCTGGTATGGAGCATCTTATTCCTATAGTGAATAAACTACAGGATGTATTTGCTTCATTAGGAGTACCTCTTTCATTAGATCTTCCACAAATAGCTGTCGTGGGAAGCCAAAGTGCTGGAAAAAGTAGTGTTCTCGAGAATTTTGTGGGCAGGTTAGTCTCGGTTTTTCATAAATTTTCTCTATCGATCCGAACCGGTACTCAACTTTCTAGTCTTAGCTTACACACTTTTCCTTCGTTATTTCATTCAACGAACTTGCCTAGATAATCATTATTCACTGGGTTACAGTTTGAAATAAATTGCATCCGTTTACCGTATTACAGTTTTAAATAATTTTATTAAAATTATTGTTTTTCTAGCTATTCAGAGAAAATGTGAAACTGAAGGAAGCGAAACAAAAGGGGCGTCTCCCAATAAATAAAAAAAATAATTTAAGAACTTTTTCCCTTATTCGCTAGTTTTAAACATAGTTAACTAGAATCTAGATCAATTAGATAATTTATCATTTAAAGGCTAGACTAAAAATCTAAAAAAAGGTAAGATCTAGATCAGATCTAGTTTTGATTTCTGACTGATATTCAATTTCATTCATAATCTCAATTATCATCATAGGCCTATTCATTGAGTCATTGTGATTGTCTCATTGACATCAAAATTCAGATTGTCAAGATCATTTTTAAAAATTTAGATCTAGATCTTCTACTGGCACCACATCATTGATCATCATTGCTTTTATTTATTATATCTAAATTTTAACTTTGTTGGCCATGTTGAAGTGAGGGGAAAATCCCAAAATTCGATTGCTAAATTAATATTTCTAGAGACAGTTCAAGTTAAATTCAATAATAGGCTACTATTATTAATAAGTTGGGCATAGTGCTGACCACACTATCCCCCATCATATGCATAGGTCATTGAAACATATGAACTCTACTTCATCTGCCCTATGTATCTTGGCCAGGAACAAGAAAAGATGAGTATTAATAAGTTATTGGGCCGTATATGCTATAAGTTAGGACTGTTAGGTATTCTTACTAAATTTTAATTTTATTTCACCTACTCCATTCAAAATTAAAAGTTCATACTGAGTTAGAAACTGGAAATAATTCATCTTAAGTTTCATCTGATTTCCTGGCAGGCAAAAAGTCAAGAAAAACAATCATTAGGCCTATAAAATATGTAGTATGTAGGCCAATGTTTTAATCATTATTGGACAGAATCAAAACTTTTTTATTTTCACTCAGCGCAAAGATTTAAAATGATATAAATAAATGGTTAAATAATTTTCAAAAACTTGTAAGATTTCCAAATACACCTGTTGATTTTAATCTCTGTGATAAAAAGAATTGTGGTATTGAATTAGCTTTTGGTTTGAGTCTATATTTTGAATGTTGAAAAAAAAAACAACAACTGAAACCTGTATTTGTGAATACAGGTAAGACCTGAAAACGTAGACAAGTTGATCAGCACAGAATATTTATATCGATTCTTGGTTGTTTATTACACTTTTGAATATTAAATTGATAATAATATTTGACAATAACTAAAATAACATGCTAATAGGACCCATGATAACTGAAAGATGACATCTGAAAACGTAGACCAGTTGATCAGCACAAAATGTTTTTATCGATTCTTGGTTATTATTGCACTTTTGAATATTAAATTGATAATAATATTTGACAATAACTAAAATAACATGCTACTAAGGCCTTATGATAACTGACTGAAAGATGACAAAAGTAAACAACTAAGTCCTAACTACAGTATATGCCACTTCCCTCCCAATAGTTACTATGCTACTGGAGTGTATTATTATTATTATTAACGTTTCAAACAACAAAATACAACTCAAACAAGGTAAATAAAGATAAACAAAGGGGACGCTACTCTAAATTTTCACTTTTTGTGTACATCCCCCTCTACTAAAATAATACCTTATTTAATCCTATCACATATTGAACAAGTCCTCAGCAACCACTATTGTAATTAATAAAATATTAACAACTCAAATATTTTAAGATACGCTATTTCCCTAGTTTCAACTTCAGAAATTATTTCTCTGTACTGACAGTATTTATATTTTAATGAGACAAATTAATATATAAGTGATTTAGCCTTAAAGGCAAGATTTTTTTTTTTTTTTTTTATTTTACTAGTAAAATCAATGGTTAATGTAACCCTTAAAGTAGAGTTTCAATTTGCTATTTGTGATACAACCAATTAAAGAAGAAACACCTTGATATATTGCTTCCCCAGAACTAGACTGTTCTAACTTTGTTTTTCCCCCTTTATAGAGATTTACATTTACACACCAATATGTTCTTCATATATCAAGACATCCTGCTGGTAAAAAAAAATGTAGCGGTTTCTCTTATCATTATTTCACAACAACCCATTTTCACAACATGCTTAATTTGAAAATGTTACAGCCTCACTGTGAACATCTGTTGAAAGTTTTTCAGACACTTCTGAATGATAATTTGACATATATATATATATATATATATATATATATATATATATATATATATATATATATATATATATGTGTGTGTGTGTGTGTGTGTATGTATATTCTTAGTTATTTTTAAGCAAGTAATCATTACTTATATTGTAAGATAAACAGTTTCAATAGTTTTATTTGAACAAAATTCATGTCTTTTTTTTAATTATTGGGCATGTTTAGCTTATTATCCTAAAATTAATAATACTGGGTAAATTGTTAAATAATTGAATAGAACATAAAAAGACCACAAAGCGGATATAAAAAATGTCACCACAGTGTAAAGGACAGAAATCATTTGCCTACACACTATCTTCACCAGCTGTTGCACCCTGTTGTCCATTATTCATTAACTTTTGACCTTGGGTTACAACCTAAACCATCTGTCTTGTGTAGTCCAAAAATAGAATGGGGATATTTTCCAATTTTTTTTTGTAAACTTGGTTAAACCTTATCTATACTTTAAAATAAAATTGATAATACATACAATCTGAATTCTTAAATTTATAGAGAAACTGAAGAAATGAATGTAGTTTACTTAAGCCAGTCATAATTTTAAGACCTGTACTTTTAATATGTATATTTTTAGATATCATCTGAGATTAAAAATTAAAATATTATAATCATTAAGTGACAAAGTAATTAGTAGTTTTAGAATATGAAGACAGAGAATAGGGTTGATGTTGTGAATTGAAATGAAGCACCTATACTATTGAAATGTGTAATATTTCATAATATACATACTTAGATTTATCATGTATATAACATTTTTAGAGCTGCTTCTCTAAAAAGTATAGTAATTCTTTATCATGATTTTTATGTTGTTTACAGAGATTTCCTTCCCAGAGGTTCAGGCATTGTGACCAGACGACCTTTGGTATTGCAGCTGATATATAGCAGAACAGGTACAGTAATACATAAAAAGTTCTTCAATTAAAATACATTGTATTGTTAGTCAATACAAGTTAATTATCATCTCTGTTTACTTTGTAGAGTATGCCGAATTCATCCACTGCAAAGGCAAAAAGTTCACAGATTTTAGTTTGGTGCGGAAGGAGATTGAAGATGAGACAGATAGGGCTACTGGAGGTAACAAAGGCATCTCTAACATCCCGATCAATTTACGAGTATACTCTCCTAATGGTAAGATTATAATTATTTTTACAGTATGTTTTTAGGAATTAAAATTTTTTTTTACCTTTTAGTTGGCTCTATGGATGGACCATTTTTGAAGGGATTATAATTATATGCAGGATTTGAAAACAACACTTCCGTACACTTTCAATTTAGTTATGATTTTCATTGTGTTCTGTTTTGTCTGTTTTTCCAGATGTCTGTAATTATAATTCACTTTGTAAAGGCTTGATTGAATGAATTCTTTTCCCAGTGCTCAACTTGACACTGATTGACTTGCCTGGTATGACAAAGGTACCTGTAGGAGACCAACCCCCAGACATTGAGCAACAGATCCGTGGGATGTTGATGGAGTTCATTACCAAAGACTCATGTCTCATTCTTGCAGTAACACCAGCTAACTCTGATCTTGCCAACTCTGATGCTCTTAAAATCGCTAAAGAAGTTGATCCCCAGGGTAGGTTATTTTTGTTTATTGGTTTTTTTTTTAGCACTGAAATTAAACGGTTTTAATATTTTTGTATACATGTCCTAAGTAGCGCTTGTATGTTGATACATTTTTATCTGATTGTGATTTAAGACATGTTTTATGCCCTTTTTTGTTTTGTTTATAGCTAAAAAAAAATACTCATAATTTGGATAAACTATTGAGCTATTAAAAATAATACTGCCGTTTTTTAATCAAAATGTATACCAATGATGACATTACAATAGTGCTTTCTTAAAACCCTGAAATTTGTACCACTAGATGCATCATTTAATCCTTTGACATTCCAGGCATACGAACTATTGGCGTTATTACCAAGCTAGACTTGATGGATGAAGGCACAGATGCTAGGGAGGTTTTAGAAAACAAACTTCTTCCATTAAGAAGGGGTTAGTGTTGTTTCACATCTTCATTAGCAATTTAAAAGAGCTACTTACACAAGGTTGTAGTACAAGCTTTACTGTATCTGTATTTCAGGCTATATTGGTGTTGTAAATAGAAGTCAAAAAGATATTGATGGCAAAAAAGACATTAGGGCTGCTTTAGCAGCAGAAAGAAAATTTTTCTTGTCACATCCTGCCTACAGGTTAGTTTATAGAACTTTCATTTTTTCAAAATCTTTTATATGGCTTAGACCCAAGATTAAGGTAATAGTCTATAGTCTAAAGTTTATAAATTGGTTTTTATAGAGGGGTAAATGTACTGTTAACCAATGTAAGTGTTTAGTGTTTTACCTAAATGTAGTTTTGAAGTGAAATAAAAATGGTTGAATTTTGCAATTTTTTTTTAAGGCACATAGCAGATCGCCTAGGCACACCTCATCTACAGAAAGTTCTCAACCAGCAGTTGACTAATCACATCAGAGATACTCTCCCATCACTCCGTAATAAACTGCAGTCTCAGCTTCTGGCCATGGAGAAAGAAGTTGAAGAGTACAAGAACTTTAGGCCAGATGATCCAGCAAGAAAGACAAAAGCCATGATGCAGTAAGTATATAACTTGAGTGATATTGATTTAGAAAATACTATTCATTTTAATTTATTACTGAAAAGTTTTTTAAAGATTTTTTTCTTTGCAATGACTTTTTAAAGTTTTTTTTATAGAACTTAATTAAGAAATTTAACAAGGTGTTAATTGTTCTGTTTTGTTTTTCACAGAATGATCTCCCAGTTCAGCACAGATTTTGAGAGGGATATAGAAGGCTTTGGTACCCATGTTTCTACAGAAGATTTGTCTGGTGGTGCCAAGATAAACAGAATTTTTCATGAAAGATTCCCATTTGAACTTGTAAAGGTTGGGACATATGCAGTGCTTTATTAACTACTTAAGTTTTTCAAAATTGTGATATGTGATAAGTGTAGGATTTTGTTGTTAAAATATTTAGTAACTACTAAAGGTATTTACATTGAGCTATAAATAAGAAAATTTTAATTTCTATTTTGTTTTCAATACGCTATGTCATTAGGAAATGTTAAATGGAAGTAAGAAAAAAAGTATGTTCAGGATTGTATAACACATTTATCTGTTTTAATTGTCATTAGTCTGAAGAATGTAGCTAGCAGCCATAAATTGGCTCATTCTTTTTTCACAGATGGAATTTGATGAAAGGGAGTTAAGAAAAGAAATAGCTATCACAATTAAAAACATTCATGGTATCAGGTAAGTACACATCCACAATGTGAAGAGACCTTTTACTTTGAGTATTTTTAATTAGGTCATTTATAGGTGTAGCTTGTAGAAGCTTCAGTGCATTTTTTTAAGGTAAAAAGCCATTTGAACAAACAAGCAAATCAAACAGTGTTTGTAATTAGCAAATAACAATAACTTTTTTTAATAATTGTGGAATAATCTCCAAAAAAAGTAACCCAAAAAATTTACTTATTCTTTCAGAACTGGACTTTTTACACCAGATATGGCATTTGAGAGCATAGTTAAGAAACAAATTAATCGACTCAAAGAGCCATCTTTGCACTGTGTAGACCTAGTTGTCACAGAATTATCTACAGTTGTCAGGAAATGCACAGAACGAGTAAGTAATATTTCATTAGCTAATTATGTCTAATTACATCACACTATATAGTTTTTATTGATTAAATAGTCACTTCCTATACATTATATATTATAAGCAGTTTATTAAAGCTAATTTACATATATATACTCCTTAACACAACAATAGAGTCTTAAATAAAGATTCATTATAGTTCTCAGCTAACCTAGTTTTTTTTTAATTTCACTTTTATATAGCTGCCTTTTTTTAAAAAACAAGTTATAACTTTGTTATATTCACTTTTGAATGTTACACAAAAAAAAAGGATTATTCATTGGAACATATTTTATGTTTTGTCTCAGTATAACTTGTATTTAGCAGCTGTAACATTTTTTTAGATGGTGCGTTATCCTCGATTAAGAGAGGAGACTGAACGTATTGTCAATACACGCATTAGAGAGCAGGAGCAGGTAGCCAAGCAGCAGATTCTTCAACTCATAGACATTCAGCTTTCATACATGAATACTAATCATGAAGATTTCATTGGATTTGCTAAGTACGTTTTTATCTTAGTTAGCCATGAAAAAGGGCCACACCTTACAAATCTAAATTTAGAAATCAACTATTACTTCTCATGAGTTCATTTCCCATATTGTTCCCCAATATAACTATGCCTCTCATTAAGTTTAGCAAGTCTCAGAGCTTACAATCAAGCAAGGATGTTTTAAATAAATTTGAATTTGCGCATACAAGTTTTGGCTGAGCTCTGATTTTTTTTGTTTGGATTTCAGTGCTCAACAGAAATCAGAAAACACCAACAAAAGAAAACTAGGCAACCAGGTCAGTTTTTTGCTGATTGGTTTGTTTATAGTCTTTTAATAATGTATTCTGTAGACAGCTCACAAATTGTTGCTAAATAATAATGTAAGCTTTTAAAATTAATTTTTTTTTCTCTTTTAGGTTTAGCATAATGGTACATTTTGTACTACATTTTGACATCTAATCTCTTAATCCTAGGTCATACGTAAAGGCTGGTTATCCCTACACAATGTCAGCTTTATCAAAGGGGGTTCCAAAGACTTCTGGTTTGTCTTAACAGCCGAATCATTGTCTTGGTACAAAGATGAAGAGGTAATTTTTGTGTGCTCTATAACTGTTTTTGTTTAACCAATATTAAGCAAAGAACTGTTATTATAGACAAGTTTTTTAACCTAGTTCTACTCAGGAAGTATAAGTTGTATTCATATATATTACAAACAAGCATTAATTTACACTTGCGTGATGTAAACTATATAGGTCAACAACAAAATTTAGCAATAATTGCACATCATTATATGTGAAATATGTACACCATTGGCATGAAATATCTATTTCTAGCTAATATCAAGCTTCAAATTAAACTGACGAGAGCAATTTTATATCATAGCCTGTGATCATACTTTATCCAATTATGTTTACCTCAGTAGGCCTATATGTATGATGAATGCCACAGATGTTTAAATCCGAGGACATTGAAGAGTAAACTTTGCTCACCTTTTTTAATTTAGACATGGTGCATTTATTTTCATATTGAAGTTTTAAATGTATGTTTTACAAGTAATTTAAATCAGTGGGTTATTTTTAGGATGTGGGCAATAAAATGGTTTTAACTTCACAATTTTTAGTTTGGCTTTTTAGGATTTCTTGGAGCATCAGCATCGCTCTGTGACTATCCCATTATATGAAAAAATATTGGTTTAGCATAAGCTATAAACTCTGTCAATACAGTACTAAAATTCTTTCACATATTCAAATCTTTTTCTCAAATTTTTTTGAAAATTTCATTGTCAAAAAGTATTGGTAAATTATTGAGATTATTGAGTAGTTTTGTTTGTTATAAATGTGCTCAATTTTGTTCATTCAACTAAAAACTCTTCAGTGTCTGAAATAAAACCCTTTTTAAAGACGTCATGTAAAACAATCAGTGGTGCATTTTTTCTTGTGTTCCCGTCCAGCTGAATAGAGCTGATTGTACTTCACCATGTTATGACTTGTCTTTTTTTACTCATGTTTGATGATTGTCAGAACTATTTGTTCTAATGTGCACCATAACACTGATTCCACCCACTTAATCATTTGTCATCAAATGTCATGCTATACTAGGTTGAAATGACTCTTGTTTGGTGCAACAGTTCATTCCCTTTGTACTGTTTTGTAATACTTACATTTATTTTACTTGAGATGGTCCAATTTATACTTTTCTTCTCCTAGATCTCTGTTGATTCCATACATCTAATTATTTCTTGTTACTTCTTAGTACTGTGTCTGTTATCTGTTTTTACCAATTTCTTTGTTGTGCATTACTGTTAGTGGCGTGATGTTTGTTTACAGTTTTGTGTCCTTCTTTTTGTCTTGGAGTGATGTATTTTCTGTCTTTACTCTGGTATGATCATTTTCACGTGACGATGCTGTATTTTACATTGACTGTTTTTGTGTTTTCGTGTAATGATTTTGTAGTTTCAATTTCTTACTGACAATTTATCCATGTCTAGGTTCTGCTCTTTCATACTGTTTCTCTTATCTTGATTTTTGTCATTCTGTACTGTTTTTTACATTTATATTATGATGTCCTTGAGTTTTCTTTATTGCCGTTATTTTCTTTCATCTTGTTGTTTCGCCCCTTGCTATTTCTCCCATATTCTGCTATTTCTCTTATATTCTGTTTTTTCATCATGTTATGTCCTGCGATTTCTCTCATAACCTGCTGTTTCTCTTGTGTCCTTCATGTTAGTTGTATCCCTCATGCCCCACTGTTTCTCACATACTGCTACTTCTTTCATTTTGCCGTGCTATTTCTCTCAAATCCTACCAGGAAAAGGACAAGAAATATATGCTCGCGCTTGAATCACTAAAGTTAAGGGACTTGGAGTCTGGATTATTCTCTCGCCATCCAATTTTTGCACTTTTCAATGCTGACAATAGGTAGCTACATTTTCACAGCTCCATCTAGCTCTGAATGCAACAATCTCAGCATGAAGATGTTCCACACTCTATAGACAAACATTGGCTTGTGTGGCTTTACTCTACATGACATACTTGATTTGAATTTTTTTTTTTAAACAAATTATTTTTACCTATAACTTTTCTAAGCTTCAAGAGCTAATATTTAAAGCTGATTGACACTTTAGAGCTAAGGAATGTCATGTCTGGCATTGTTTTTTATCAGCTTGCAAACACATTGAAATGACACGCATGATGTCATCCTTGCTTGATTGTTTGTAAGCTTTCTGTTGTCAGGTGGTCTTGGCTATTAATGGTTATTGATGGGTATTGCTTTTTTTCCCCCTCCTGGTGTTGGTTTCCTGCATGCTAACTTTTTTGTAGACAGAATCGTCATGACGCGTGGTATGTTTACACAACAACCTGACACAGTTCATGTTGTAACTGTCCCTGAGGTGAAGTTCTGTCTTTATTGTTACACATTCACATTACTCTGCTTTTACTCGTCTTGTGATGCTTTGGTTATGAGATAATTGGATCCTCTGTTCATGCTTTGATTGTATGATAAAATCAATTGTAGAATATAGTGGTGAAGGGGTGGTGAGGGTAGTATTTGTCAACTTTGTGGAATTATGGATCTGACAATTACCAAGCTAGCAGAACAGGATATTCATTCAGCTATATCGAGATGAAGTATATAAAACACCGGTTTATCAAGAAAACTTTGTGTTCTCTGATGCCAGGAGTTACAAGAGAATGATTTACAGTTGCCAGCAGTGATTTACCCTAACCAGATAGCTGCGAATGTGTTGTTATTCTGCAGGACACCATGTGACCTTTCCCTGCTTGTTTGTTATTTGTCAGGAAAAAGACAAGAAGTACATGTTGACTTTAGATGGCCTAAAGATCCGAGACATGGACCAAGGGTTTATGAGCAAGAAATGTGGTTTTGCTATATTCAACCCTGAGGCCAGGTACCATTGGTTTGACTTCCCCACTTAACTTGAGCATTCCTTATGGCTGCATATCAAAGGATAGCTTTCTCCCTACATGTGTCTTTTTATTTTCAAAATACTTTGTTTAATCTAGCTTTTTATTAATCTCAGCTGTGCTCTTCATACCTTCCTGGCATTTTAACCACATTTTTTAGGCTTATTCAAATATGTAAAAATATATTATAGCCATAACTCTAAATTATCAAATTTACAGCAACACCAAAAAATTGAGAATTATTCTGATCTGTGTTAATTTTACCACATAAAAGTTGACAAAAAATTACCTATTAAAAACATGTACCCCTTCAAATAATATGAGCCAAAGGTATTCTGTTTGAGTAGTCAGATGCATCTAGTAAATTATTAGTGTATAAACATGGCATGAAATAGAAATCCTACTAAAGATTCACACATTTGTAGTGTTACCCCAGATTTTGACATCTTTATTTTCTATCCCTTGAAGTTGAATTGCATGTTCTTATGCTATGTTCTGCTGGTTCAAAGCTATACTAAGATCAAATTTAGGTGTGTCAGTTCTTGTTAAACAAAACAGTAATTACTTGTGAGGTATGTAGTAAACATAAGCGTTAGCTAATCTAGGCTGTCTGTAATGATTTCACAACACGTTTGTAAATTTCTGATTTGGTCAGTTTATATTTTGTGTTATAGTTATAGAATAAAATGACAGTAAGTATAGTAAGGGCATGCTTTATGTTTGTCAAAGCCAATGATTTTGTCTTGAATATCTGGATGGGAAAAATAACTACAAAACTATGTGTTTGAAAGCCTATATATATAGAAGCTTAGTCATCTTTTCTAAAGTTGTAATATTTCTCTCAGACCACTAATCTCAACTAAGCATAGAGCCTTTATGAGGTATCTGGAAAAATATTCTAGCACAGCTTGAATGTTGCATGACAAATGACAGCCAGTCATCACATTTGGCTTCAGCCATGCTTGTACAAGTTACATTAAGCAATTAGTGACATCAAGCAATTTTTCAAGTTTACAAGTCTTTACTATGAATTTGATCCAATGGACTGGGTGAATGAACATGTCTGCTATGTGAAGTCTGTTAAAAAAAAATTTACTTTGATTTTACAGCAGCTTTACATTTGATTAAGCTAAAGTAGAATCTATATGTTGTTGCCCTACCCTTTTTCATTTAGCATCCCATCACTGTTGTAAGCCTTGTTTTGTTTGCTATTTGAACCATCTTAGGTTGCATCCACCAAGAATGACCTTTGTTGTACATGTGCGACCTAACAGATTTTTACCTCTGTATTTTTAATTTAGTCAAAAACCTGTTTAAATCAACTAATCTTCCAGACTTTTTTCCCCCTCGTATTCTTCCCGCAGCAATTACATATGTAAACCACTGTTCCAGATCTTTTTTTTACCCTTGTTTTCTTACTGCAGACACTACCTTTAGAAAGAGCTGCATCTTTTATTTGCTGATGATCTCCATTACAGATGCGACAAACTGGCATGCATCTGTCCAGTTAATTTAATATTTTGTGTCTGTACAAAAGTTGTAGCAATAGATGTGTGTAGCATGTGCTCAAGAATGTTTCCTTCTTCCCCACATCATTCTGGCATGTTGCCCCACATCCTGCTTGATGTTAGGAGCGAGAAAAACGCTACATGTTGCCTCTAGAGAGCTTACAGGTGCGAGATGTGGAGGGCGGTATATTCCAGTCTAAACACATGTTTGCTCTTTATAATCCTACAGCAAGGTAGGTCACTCGCAACAGCACCTTCACCATTACAGCCAGTAATTTCATTACTGCACCTTATTATTCCCCTTGTAGTTGTCAGTTATTTGCCCTTCTTGCTTTAGATTACTAGTCAGTAAGTTTTTTTCTGCTAACACTACACATGTTTATTTATAAATAAATATTTGAACACAACTGACAATATTAATTTGTATGTATTTACAATCTGTATCACCTAATTAACATGCTAATTATCTAAATCATAGAAGAATTTAAGTGAAGTAAAATTTAAATAGTTTGTTCATCAAGTTGGTGATTGATTTGTGTATGCTTGATTGCATTAGCAAAGTTGTATACACCCTTGTAATCAAGTTTGTGAAGTAATATTTTACTTGGTGATTCAAGAGCAGTTTTCCAAAATCTGTTGAAGTTTATCTTTGTAGTTTGGAGGTATTATTTTTTTTAATAATATAAATTTTTTCTAGAAAAATGTAATTAACGGATTACATTCATCTGGCTTACAATTGTTGAGCATAAGCCACTTATTGTGCACTTAAGTGCATTGGTTTTTCATTAGTTTAGCACAATATAGTTTGAGATTCTAATAGATTGAAAAAAGGCTTTTCTGATGCGAAAAAAAAATATTTTTGTCAATAACAGGTTTTAGAAAAACTGCTCTGAAATGTGAAAAATGAGTAGTTAGCCTTTTAAAACCAAAAGTGACTATATAATAAAAATGAATATTCTTAAGTGAAATAATTCAACACCACTGCATATTTACTCACCATTGTTGATTCTTACCTCTCTGCATTGACAGTGTTGTGATGTTATGTCTTAGACGCATGCTAGCTGCTTCTTGAAACTATTTAATTAGCTACTAACATAGCCATTTCTAGAAACTAATGTAAGGGATTTAATTTTTTTTAACAGAGCTAACAAACTTAACTTTATTCTATATATAAGTTTATTTAAATTTCTTAACATGCAATATAATTCACACTTAGGGCATTTTTACCAAACACCATATGATGAAATATTCATTTTAACTAATATTGAAATGCTGGAGCAATAAAAAGATATTAGGTTTTTTAAATAGAAAACTTGACTATCACTATATTTTACTATTACTAGATATTATAAGTAGAAATGTTGGCTATATTGAAATGTTACCAGATCTATTAAATGTAGATTTTGACTACAATTGAATTATAAATAAATAATAGAATTATAAATGTCGTTATTTAAACTGATTTTTAAAAAATGTAGGCTAGTGTTACCAGATTAATAGAAAAAAATGAAGAGCACAGAAACCCCATCCACTTTTGGGAGAAAATAGTTGATACATCTATAACTCACCATATAACCATGACCTTATTATTTTATTGTTTTAGTATTAATATACAGTAGAATTATTTATGTATTTATACACATTTATTTATATATTTACTTAAAAATTTTAATTATTAATTCAATTTAATATGGCCTTTTTAAATAGTCATATAGAATTACATCCATGTAGAAATAATGTTTTGAATGTATTAGAAAAAAATTATTTTAGTCATATTTTATACTTGCTTGTATGTTAAAACAAGATAACTCTTTTGTCATAGAAACGTCTACAAAGATTACAAGCAGCTAGAGCTGTCAGCTGAATCACAAGATGATGTGGACAGCTGGAAAGCATCATTTTTACGTGCTGGGGTCTACCCTGAGAGGACAACAGAGGAAGGAGGAAGTGTCAGTTCTTTTTTTTTGCTTCCATTTGTAGCCGTTTTTAGTTGAACATTGTATCAAAACATCTTTTTTATGAACATATCTTACTGAGTTTTTGGGCTTTACACCTTTTTTTATGAGCCATTTTTGTTGGCTAAAAAAATGATAACTTGTTTGAGGCTTAGCAAAAATTTATTGATAAGTCTGGGAAAGTAAAGACTTCTGAGCATTGTGCTGACCAGATAATACCTTTATTTGATGACCACACAATCCCTTCATATGCTGAGGTAAAAAAAAAAGCATGTACTACTTTATGTCAGACTGTCAGGTCTAAAACTGAAAGTGACCTCTACTTAAGCTGAATTATGTGCAGAGACCTGTAGGTTATGTCTTGTTTAAAGAATGTTAAAGACGTGTTATTGTCTGCACATTCTTATCTGCAGCAGTCAAAAGATGACTACTCCTCAATGGACCCTCAGCTGGAGAGGCAAGTTGAGACTATCAGAAACTTGGTGGACTCTTACTTAAAGATTGTCAACAAAACACAGAGAGACCTTGTTCCAAAGACTATTATGTATCTTATTATAAGCAATGTAAGTAAACATCACTTGTTTAGGGTAGCTAAAAATTAATTTGAGTAACTAATTGTAAAAGAATAATTAGATACTGTTTGTTGGTCTGAAACCATTTGGATTAATTATATACTTAAGGGCCATATTGTAAAGGATACAGTGGGTAAGGTTTGGCTTTGTTATGAATGCATCTTTGAATAAGCAATTATCAAGACTTAATTTTTAATTTGATGAGGCACAGCCTGGCATAGATGGAAGAACATAATGCTAAGACCATTTTAAGCCTCCAATTTCTAACAGAGAAAGGGAGTGATTTTACTAATTTAAGTATGTTTTACATACACAGCAATGGCAATGAAGTAAGAGTTCACATGTTTTACAAAAACACACCACAATATTAAGTATTATGATTGTATTAAACAGTTTTTAGTGTGATTGTGAATGTTTTTCTAGCAGATTTCTATATCCTTAAGAATCTCTATAAAAAATATGTTCTAAAAAGAATTATCATCAGTTCCAAAATGTATTTATTCCTTCTTGATATTAATGCTTATCACACCAGCTGTGAAGTGCAGATACACAAGCCGTAAACTAAAAATCTTAGACTTGAATACCTGAAATCTTGTTATTTTTTTCCCACAATACAACCATTTTGTCACCACTTTCAGATTCGGATATTTATTAATAGCGATCTGTTGGCTCATATCTACTCCACTGGTGACCAGGTAAACTGAAAAGCACAATGCTGGCACTGACCTCATTTGCATGCTGTATATTGTTTTCTGCACTTTGGTTGTCTCCCCTGTATAGGTTACCCCCCCTTTGTTTCCAGCCTTCTGCATCCAGGGATTCCAGACCAGCGGCTTCTGACATTTTTTTTTTTTTTGTGTTCAGGGTTTAGTCATGTAGTATCATTGCCTGATTGGTGTATGTGTCTACATGTCTAGGCATGAACAGTTTGTGTTTGCTTTTGTAAACTCTAGTAAAGATAGATCTGGCCTTCTGTGCCTGCTCGTTTGATTTCAGATGAAGATTTTTATCAAAGATGACTTATTGCCTGGTTTGTACTCCGCAGGAGATCAGGTGGGCAAATAAACATCACTCACTTCCATTAAGGGGAAACTATCATAATCATTGTCTCAACTATCATAATCTTCTACATTAAGTTGAAACTGTCATAATCATTGTCTAAAGTATCATAATCTTCTACATTAAGTTGAAACTGTCATAACCATTTACAGCAAGGGGAAACTGTCATAATCATTGTCTCAACTATCATAATCTTCTACATTAAGTTGAAACTGTCATAATCATTGTCTCAACTATCATAATCTTCTACATTAAGTTGAAACTGTCATAATCATTTACAGTAAGGGGAAACTGTCATAATCATTGTCTCAACTATCATAATCTTCTACATTAAGTTGAAACTGTCATAATCATTTACAGTAAGGGGAAACTGTCATAATCATTGTCTCAACTATCATAATCTTCTACATTAAGTTGAAACTGTCATAATCATTTACAGTAAGGGGAAACTTGTCATAATCATTGTCTCAACTATCATAATCTTCTACATTAAGTTGAAACTGTCATAATCATTTACAGTAAGGGGAAACTGTCATAATCATTGTCATTAATAAGGGGAAACCATTGCTAACATTTTAGCAAAGAGGAATATTTATTTTAATTATAAAAAAAACTAAGCAGTAATTTTCTGTTATATAGTGCTCATTTTGATTCCAGGGAACTGAAACATTCATTTACATCAGGGGAAACTTTCATAATCAATGCCATTAATAATAATAATATCATTTTAGCATAGAGGAATATTTCTTTTCATTACAAACAAAAATATAACAGTAATTTCCTGCTATATGGTGCTCATTTTCATTCGAGGGAACTGAAACATTCATTTACATTAAAATTATGAGGGCATTTTTTTTTAAATATTGCCGCTGTAAAGATTTTATTTTGTTAAGTTGTAATTTTTTTTTAAATGTATTTATTAAACGCTTTTTTTCTGAAGTTATCTATGAGGGTTTAAGTAACTTTAATCTGGATTATCAGCAGCACAAATACTGTTGTAAAAACAACACCAAATCAATACATTAAACAAAAAATTATTTATCCCCTTCCAAAGCTTGCTCTATGTTGTAGATACATGTTGCATGCATTTTATTCTAAAAAGTTTTGTGTGGATAGCGGTACACAGGGTTTGTACATAGTTTGGAAAAATGTCTGGCTCAACAAGAAATGTGTGGATAAGCTTAAGAAAAACTTTTTAAAAGGGTATAGATCTAGATTGTGAACTTTGGCCTCATAAGGCCTTTTATTTCCTGATATCACCTGGTATGGTAACTTTATTTACCACTTCTGTATTTGCCTGTAATGAGTTGAACTTTTTCATTGGGGACATAATAGTTGAAGGGGAGAACATTCCATGTATGCTTTACCCAAATATCATTTCTGCTTTCACATAAAATGCTGCAGTATCATCATGGGGGTGGGGGAGGGATGTCTTATTTGTGATGACTTGTCACAGTATGTATATGAAGGTAAAACTATCAAAAGTTACATAGTGTCATGTTTAGAGGACCCCCCCCCCCCCCCCTATTTTGTGATTATTACATAGATCTCAAAATAAAATATTTATGCTGCCAAAAAATTCGAACATAATATATTTACTCTAAATACTCGAATGAAAGTAGTAAATAACTTACAGCATTTCTTTGATAACTTGATAAACATTATATTTTGTATGGATTTTTTCCTCAAACTAGTATGAACCCTTGGTACTAATTAATGTGGTGTATTATATATCAGGGGTTCTTAAATTTGTTACATTGGACCATATTGTTTTCAACGCAGTGAATGATACTAAATAGTAACACATTAACATGTGGTTTTTTCCCTTTTATAAACTGTTGCTTACTTTCATTGAAAACAAAGCAGTGTAAACTTGTGGTAAGTCCACAAAGAGCCCCTGATTTAGATCATATGTTGAGTCCATCAGCTTGTAGATAGTTAAAATATTCATGTGTCTTCTCTCAGATTTGTGGAGTGAGTATCATGTTATATTTTTGTTATTTACAACTTTCACAGTGACTCAACTTCATTGAAATTTGAATGCTTAGATGTTATGAAAATAATTTTTGACATTTATTTGTTAAGGAATGCAAATTTTACTTGTTAAAAAGTACTGGTTTATAAATTAAATTTAAGTTTTTAAAATATTATCCTGATAAATAAATATTTTGAAAATTCATATAGCTAACTTTTTCCCCATACAAAACTGTTTTGATAGCTCAGATTTATTTTTCCAATATTGAATTAGTGCACACATTTGTTGATATAACTTAAATGATACGTTTTTGTAGCATTATGAAAATACAAATGTTACTAGCTTAAAAATATAAGATAAGTTATTAAAAAAATTTTGCTTTTTTTAAATTGAAAGCTATAGTGTGAGTATAAATAAGCATAAGTTGATTATATCTACAGGGTCAAATGATGGAAGAGTCAGCAGAAGAAGCCCTGCGCAGAGAAGAAATCCTCCGCATGTACCATGCCACTAAGGATGCTCTACAGATTATATCAGATGTGTCCACCTCTACTGTTACCACTCCCACCCCACCTCCAGTCAAAGATGATTGGTTAGGTCCTGAGGAGAACATGAACTCTGGCGCTCCACCATACAACAAGTGAGTACAATAATATACATACAACAATTTATCATCTCCTACATGTGTACTGTTTGCTAATATTATATGTTACAGTGTACTAGCCTTTAGTAGACAAATACATTTATGATCCCATGACATTTGGGCACAGCAACTCATGGTTAACCAAGTCAAGAATTTTATGCTCCAATTAAAAAAAACTGTTTTTAAATATATGTTGATTCACAAACATGAGTAATGAAAATTATCATGAATTCACTATCAATAGTTTTCAAAGACTGTGGATTCCTATGTATTAGCAGTTGCCAAACAATATTTCTACTCCTCCATTGATTAAATAACTCATATTTTAAAATATTGTATAATGTCCAAGACTTTGCAATCCACCACCTTGACTCACCATTTTTTAAACTTTACTTTAGTCGACCACCAAGTCCTGCTAGGCCACGTGGTGTTCCACCCCTCCCCAACAGACCAATGGATCAACCCCTTCAGCCAACGAGAGCTGCTCCAGGTGTTCCAAATCGCCCAGCTCCCGAGAGACCAATGCCTAGTATACCAGCGTAAGTACAGCTCGTTATATTTTTTTTACTAGTCCCTAGTTTACCAGCTAGCTTGGATTACATTATTGATAAACAGCTAATTGGCATGTGGTTTTAGACCTTATTGTCAATCTTGTTTCAGCCGCCCGGTGAGTGTAAACAGACAAGTTCCGCGAATCCCAGACCGACCTCAGAGACCAAACTAAATTAGTCAGGCCGTGATAAACACTGAACAAATGTCCATCTACAGACAGCACTATGATACTTCCTCCCAGTATCTTATAATTTTGTGCTATGGATGCGGATTAAAAAAAAACTGTTGATGTATATTTTTTTGTGTACAACCTTTTCACTGTTAGTTTAACTGTACAAATATTTGATGTGAATGGTTTGATTGATAATTCAGAATGGCAGGCTTATGCTGTATGATATATTTTAAAATTGATTATTTATGTCTGGCTAATGGGAAAGTTTTTGTTTTAAAGCACTGTTCCATTTAATTTCTCTGTTGACTAGCCTACTAGTTGCACTGTTGTCAAGCATTTAAATCTGGCCAGATTTTTTTCATCACTTGAGTTCATCTGTTTAACATCAACTGTGGTATTTCTAGATAGTAAAGTAGTAAGAAAAATATCACCAGCTATTTCTTTTCGCAAAAATTTCTAATAATTTTTTTTTTAATTATGATTTTTAATTTTTTTTTTTTGCGTGTACAATATTATTTATAAATCATTGCTGTAGAGCACAAATAATGTTGTTATACTTGAATCCATAATAGTTGTAAAAAATGTATTTTATTACAACCTATGATTGAATTTTTATAGGAGTAATGTATTCATGATTTCATGTTCCCTTATTGATTGCAATATCTTGCTAAGAGGTAGCTAGTGAACTTTGACTTGAAGCAATCAGGAGTTTTGTGGGTTGATAGACTGTGATGAATGACCTTATAAAAAATTAGCTTGTCTAAAACAAATGTTTGGTACATCTAGAACATTGATCATGATGGTGTTCAATATGTGATAAATAGATGGACCAGGCCATGGTAGATTGGTGTAGTGCAATGTTTTTTCTTACTTGACTGTCATGTTAGTGGCCAGCAGTTGTAGGGATGGCTGTTAGACCAGACATTGGTGTAGATAGATACATGTTCTCTGTGTCCTATTGTAGTCACTATTTTACTCTATAGAAAACAACACATCTCCTAGAAGATATCAAGACCTTTGGATTAATGGATGCTGGAACTTTGTTGTTTTTTTTTCAATTCATGGCCAGGTTGAGTTGTCTTTGAGCAAATTAACTTTATCTTCCAAAATGTCGGCTTTAACAATTACTTACAATGTTTTTGAACAATCTGTTAGAACATTCATTTTCGTAACTATATTCAAGACGTACAGTGACAAATGTAGCATCTTTGTGAATAATCTTTTTTCTCATGCCAGATTATATTAAAAATGTCACATTTTAATTAATAACCTCAGCAAACTTAATTGTTTCCTCCATTTGTTCTGTCATGCCATTTTTATTTCATGAGGGATTATTGTCCAGTCATTAGGGTTTCAGCCACAGCTTCATTACCTAACCTCTGTCAGCCATTTTCAATAAAAATCATGAGTGCTATGAGATAGGTCATTATTCCCACTGCAATAGGTCATTATTCCAAAAGCTTTGATATGATATCACAATTTAAATGTGAAATACATTCATGTTCATTAACATGTTTTATTTTGGGTGTTTCTTTTTGACATGTGTGAATCGTTTTTTAATTAAGTTATGTTAACTGTGGAAATTTGAACAACTTGTTGACACAATCTTAGCAAATAGTTTTATTTACTAACATTGGCCGTACATTTGAAGCCAACAAAACTAAATTGAAAGGTGGTATTTTAGAACATTATTTTATCTTTCAAGCTCATACAAGAAGTGCATTTATCATGACCAAAACTTGATTTTTAAATTAAATTCTATAAAGCTGTTTGGTCCCAATTTTTTAAAAAATTCCATCATTTTTACTTTCACACAAATGGTAGAAAGCTAATACAAATATTTATGTTTAGGGTGATAATCTCATACATGGGATAAATCAAAACATTGTTTTGCACTTTAGTAAAAATCTACTTTTGATCTAATGGATCATTTTAATAATTTTATTATAATAACAAAATAACTTGTATACAAAAAAAAAACAATCATGCAACCTATTATATTTACATTCATCAATATTCATCAATATTGCACTTGTGTCTAGTTTGGTTTTGTATTAAAAGCTGATTGGCTGTTTACACAGACTGCTTGGATACTGGCCAGATAAACCATACATGTGAAGACCAGATTAATTTTTAATATTTGTAAATTATTGAGCTGTTCAGTACAATTATTGTTTAGTCTTCCAGAAAAATGAACACAAATTAGATAAAAACAATGCTGGGTAAATAATAAACCAATTGGTGGATTGATACAATGAGATAATTGAAGCAATGGTGATAAGGAAAAAACTTTAAATTCTCAGTTCTTTTTGAATTCTTGCACACACTTAACACTCTCTTGCCCTCCAAACACTGTAGTCTGTGGAGCAAGAATAACAAAATATGTATTCTTGAGAATATAGAGCGATTAGAACAGCATAAAATATGTAGCCCAGGGATTAAGAATAACATAAAATATGTAGCCCAAGGATCAAGAACAACAAAAAAGATTTTGCATGTTTTCCTTGGGTCAGGTTGAAATGCGACTACAAATACGATGTTGTTCTAATCCTCAGACTACAAATTTACTTGATTATCTCTCATTTTAATTCGTATGAATCAGGAGTTATCTAACCTACCGCTTTCATATTATTTCCAGTTACTTCCCTTGTCGTCTTCCATGTTGCCCCTTCAGCTGTGCTGAAGTTTTCCACTAGACCAGATCCAGATAATTCAACTGTACACTAATTTTGAAGATAAAAGTAAAAAAAAATATTTTCAAGTACATTTTAACTTTTAACACATATAAAAAGTTAGTTGAAATGAATTTTTACATTGTATGGTAATAGTTTATAAATAACCTACTGTGATATAAATAGCTGAGCGTTTGAAGTAATAAATCTAGAGATGTACTAACCTTGGCCTTCACCCCATCTAATCCCGTGTAATCGAATGGTTCTCCTAACTTAAAGTTAAATTCCATCTTGACGACACCATAGTCCACAAGACACCTATTTACACATATTATATATATATATATATATATATATATATATATATATATATATATATATATATATATATATATATATATATATATATATATATACACATCAGAAATCTGGTAGCTTGTTACCAACAAATGACATTAAACTCTTTGGGACTCATGTTTGGAAATGAGGGGGAGGGGCAGAGACAAACTTTTCGATTTGCACCCCCCCCCCCCCCCCCCGTCAAACTTTCGATTTGCACCCCCTCAACCTTTCAATTCATTTTTCCAACCCATTTTGGCGCCCCCTATGGTCGGCGCCCGGGGACATATGTGTCCGTCCCCCCGCCCCCCCCCCCCCTCGCTACGCTACTGGGGAGGGGGATTAGAAAGTGTTAAAAATGAAATCTGAGCGGTTATTTTGCCTTACACTTGGGTTTTTTTTTTTTTTTGGAAATTGATAAATTAACTAATCTTGACCTATTGCTGGAGGTTAAAGTGTTTATTGAGGGATGCGAGTCTCATAATATGTTTTGTTGAAATGCGGTAGGCAGTAAAAAAGGAGGGGGGGGGGGGGGGTGGAGGTAAAAAAATAATTAAACCAGACATCAATTATGGACGACAATTTAGGGTTATAGCTTGTTAAATAGCAGCTGTAGTGTGCTTAGATTTTTTTTTGTCGCTTTTTCAGTACTTTTCGATTGTTGGATGATTCTGTACGAATAGCCCAAGAGTCTGCGAATAGCTATATAGAAATCTGATAATTTGCCTGGTAATGTAATTATTATTACATTTTTTATATCAACGAAAGCAAAGTCTTCAATGGCTTTGTTTTATTATTTTACAACTTCCCGATAGCCTCTCGCTACAGTTTTTACAGCCCGACATTCCAAACTTATCAGCCTCGTTTTGATTGGTTAAGCCGTGCTGGCTGCAAAAAATGGAACAACCAGGAGATGACCTGGTCAGCCCAGCAAATAGGTGGGGGGGGGGGGGGGGGGGGGGGTTGGGGTATTTAATGAGTGGTGCAGCATTCCAGACAGTTCTCATATGTCTGCTGGAGAACGTAATTGCACGCAACCAGGTTGACGGTGTTAGACAGGAATGCGCTACGCCACAAAGACCGAGTAAAGTGTTGGGCGACGCCCTGTAGTTAACCAAGCTAACAGCGTATCTTTTTACTGCAAGTGTAACAGTTAGAGGGTCATACATGCAATTTGAGCTCATTTCTACCAAACTTTAGACGGCGTTACAAAAAAGCCCCTCCCCCAACTACACCCCCCCCCCATACACACACACACGCACACCCTCCTTTAAAATGCCGTCAATATCAACTCCACCTAAAATACCGTAAATAATGCAAAAAAAAAAGTAATAGAAAAGTTTCCATAGTTTTCATTTTGTAAGATTACAGAAATGTTGCTGAGTCGTCTGAGTTCGTAACTCTCCCTGGGTCACTGAGCAAAATCCCGGTCGGGATCCATGATAAAATCCGCCCCCCCTCCCCCCCCCCCCTCTCTCTCTCTCTGCCTGGTGGGCTGCCAAGATCGTTGCTATAATAATGAGCCTATTTGATTTTTTAAAATGTTTATATTCTATCAACCCCTCCGTTTTGTTCATGTTGCTATTATTGTATATTGGAATGTGGCTGGGGGAGGGGATGGGGGGGGGGGGGGGGGCAGAGAAAATTGCACAAAGAAATTTTTAATTTTTATAAGCAAATGTTTTTTTTTCCCGGGGCGCCTGGACACAGCCAGTCCACACCTGCATACACGTAGCAAAACCTAACAAAAATATCTAATCCAACAACCCACCTGCTATGACATCATAGATCGACGATCCCACCCCCCCCCCCCTTTCCCCCCTGTAGTGCACGGTAGGGTTTTGAATCAAAGGGAAAGTACTAAGGCACAGGGCGTTTTCCTGTTTAATTAGAACTATTACTTTAATGGTGATATTCATTTTGTTTTGGTAGAAAAGGTAAAATGAAATGCTAGAAACATTGAACTACGAATTAAAATAAATCAGTTGAAAATTAAAACATATTTGTATAGCTACTGCTGCAATAGTTGGTAACCTGTCTTAGGCTACTTGGTTTTATCTTGCAAGTTGAGATTGATAGTTGGTGACCTAATCAAGCCGAATTAGACGACGTATATTGAAAGTGATGGATGGATAAAAAGTGAATAAACTATTATTAAAACGAGTTGATGTGTGGATGATAGTGTGAATAGAAGATACGTGGATGATGCAGTGGCGTAGCGAGGTCAGGTGACAACCGGTGCGGCACTTAACGGTGTCACCCCCCCCCCCCCACCGAGGCGTAGCGACTCTTCCCGGGGGCAAACTTTCAATTTTCGATGTGCACCCCCCCCCCCCCCTCAAACTTTCGATTTGCACCCCCCCCCCCCTAAAACTTTCGATTTGCACCCCCCTCAAATTGTTCTCTATATATTTTACTATTTTTTGCCTTGGTGTCACCCCCCTAAATGGTGACACCCGGTGCGGTCCGCACCTCCCGCCCCCCCCCCCCCCCCCCCCTCGCTGCGCCTCTGGGATGATGATCTTTATCTAGTGTTTATTTAGGTGAATTGTTTACTCTGTTGGATATTATAATTATCCAGATTTGGTATTTCCATCTCGCCTATCCCGCGGGCGTTCATGACATTATGTTCTCATCTTTTTATCATATTTGACATTTGACAGGCCAAGACCGATAACTCTATCATGACGTCCAATATGTCCAGGTTTGATTATCTCCATGTGATATTCCCTAATGTAACATTACTTGAGCGCTCAACCCATTATTGACATTACCTATTTCCATCTCCTGACGCCTCGATCAGTAACGTATAACCCGTGGTAGAAAATGCTTGAATTTTATCTTCTGTCCATCCTGTGAATAAATTTTAAAAAAAAACATATCACATGATCAAAGTTTGAATAATCGTTATTTCAGCTATTAAGAAATATTTGACACGATGGTGTCGTTGTGATTAGTCTTGTTTTTTGTTTTTGTTTTTTAATTAGTGAGCAATGTGCTTGTATTACTTTTTGTTTTTAGTAGTTTTTTTTTAACATGCTCTCTCGTGCAAGCTAGGCGGAACATTTCGGTTCCTTATATTATGAACAATAGATAAAAATTACCAATTTGATATTAAACGTTTAACCTCCGTAAAACACAGGAGAGCGTGTTTATGTTAACCACCAGAGGCGTAGCGAAGGGCGGGGGCAGGGGTTACATATGTCCCCGGACGCCGACTTTAGGGGGCGCCAAAATGGGTTGTAAAACACAGGAGAGCGTGTTTATCTTAACCACCAGAGGCGTAGCGAAGGGGGGGGGGGGGGCAGGGGGGTACATATGTCCCCGGACGCCGACTTTAGGGGGCGCCAAAATGGGTTGGAAAAACAAATTAAAGTCTCATTTTAGGTGCAGTTTGGCATTATAAATATTTAAAAAATATGGGGGGGGGGGGGTGCAAATGGAAAGTTTGATGGGGGGGGGGTGCAAATTGAAAATTTAAGGTTTGTTCCCGAGGGCGCCAAATTGAAAGTTTGTCCCCGGGCGCCTCTGTTAACCACCTTCTCTTCCCAATTCTCCTGTCCCCCATTCCCCATTAGCTAATACTCCGGTTTTAACATTTTTAAAAATCCATTTATAACTTTACCCCTGGGCTAGCTCTTAAGTGTCTACAGGTAAACAGTAACTTTTGTGTTACTCGATTATCCGCTCTTGGCTAATGAAGGAATGCTAATGAAAGAGAAAATTGGAAACAGCTGCGGAAATGCTTACTATTTAAAATACGCTACAACTACTACTAGTCTACTACATATTTTACACCAAAGAAATGTGGTTCCAATTCCCAAGCCAAAAAATTACTTACCGAAAAGCTTTCCGATTTCAGCGACCCCTGAAGTCTTGCTAAGATCAACCGTCCAAAGACCGTAAAAAGCTTCCATTTTATGCTGATGAGACGTGGGAAAAAAGTATGATATATTTTTGTTTCAACCTTGTAAAGAAATAAAGGAAGAAAAATACTAAAATACGCGCTAAAACTATGCGGAGGGTCCGTTTTACTTAATTTTAAGAACCCGCTCTTTACATAAAAAGTGTGAAAGGAGGCTGTTTCTTTATGGCATATTTTCCTACACTGCCCGAATGAAATAGAATTTTTATACAACATATATAGGCCCTATACTTCAATCAGTGTCAGCACACCCCCATTCCACCCCGAGAATTTTATTCCGCCCCCAGCCCCTAAAATTTCAAGTGCCCATTCCCCCCCCCCCCCCCCCCCCCGGAGAAAAATGTCTGGGAAAAAAACATTGGTTGTGGTAGCAAATAAAATTAGTGGTCGATACCGCTATTGGGGTACTGTATCTAAAACCAAGGGAATATAATAATGCAGGAGTGGAACTAGTTTAACCTGCCACCCTTTAGTTTAACCTGCCACCCTTTAGTTTAACCTTCCACCCTTTAGTTTAACCTGCCACCCCTTAGTTTAACCTCCCACCCTTTAGTTTAACCTGCCACCCTTTAGTTTAACCTGCTAACTCCTCCTTTAATCTGCCCACCATTCAACCTGCCAACGATTCCTTCAACCTGTCATCCCACTCTTAACTTTTACAACAACGCTTGTAAGCACCAACGAGGAACTTCTAAAACTCTGACTTTGTTTACAAATAGGGGTCATACATAAATGACGTCACGCTTTTTTGGACGATTTTTACCACCACCCCCCCCCCCCCCCTCCGTCATACGTCGTCACAAAAAGCCAGATCCTCCCCCCTAAAATGACGTCACACCTAAGCCTACAAACCCCACCCCCCTCAAAATTGCAGTTGTATATTTTTTTTAAACATCGATATTTTTCTGAAATCTTGTCTGAACTCTGTCAACATAGCGTATTTTAATCAATTCCTATTACAATTTATTAAAACAGTTTTCTAAAATGCGAAATAACGTCTAAAATTCGTTTTCTAACATTGCATTTTTATAGTGCATCACACACCGTCACAAAATTACGGACCCCCCTCCCCCCTACGAGCGTGACGTCATTTATGGACGACCCCTTATAAATGTTTCTGTATTATTGAGTAAACACAAGTTTTGGTCTTGTTGTACAGGCCACTAATACGTAGGCTCACACTATCAAAGATAGGCTCACACTATCAAAGATAAGCTCACACTATCAAAGATAAGCTCAAGTGCTTTTCAACTCAACACTCATTTCATCGGGCCAATAGTTTGCACACTCGAATATTAAAAGGTCAGCAAATTGCGCTGGTTGATGGGGCAATAAACGAGCTTCTGTGACGTCACATAGAGGGGAAGAGTGGGAGTATTCTCAAGTGGTTCATTCACATACATGACGTGTGATCACATGACGCCCACGTGACGGCAGCAATGAATAAGAGGAGAACAGCAGCTGTACAATACATACATTGTTTGATCTATCCGTTATCTTCTAAAACAATCCTCCGGACGACAAAATTTCCGTCTCCTGTTTTCTACTTCAAACAAACCGTTCTAAGTGAATGTGTCATGTTTTCAATGTAACGTCAATGTCATGTAGTGTCATGTTTTCAATGTAATGACACATGTCATATTAAGTTAATTTTTATAACTAATAGATCTACAAAACAAAAATATTTTCTATTACAAAGTAAATGATATATCAAAACGGCATCGAATCAGGAAATCCAATCAATAATTGAGTGATTGGGTGTCTTGTATAATTGATGACTGATCTTTGGAGACGGGGGGTCCGCGGCCATGTGACATTTTGTGACGGAGGGCTGAATGCGACAAGGACATAAAGTAGATAGAAGCCCCTGTATTTTTATCCCAAGAGCCATTTGTTTTTTGTTTTGGTATAAACCAATTCATCCCAATGGACTCCTTTTTATTTTGCTACAGTAGGTTTAAGAATATCCCAGAAACCATTTATATTGTGTTACAGTAATTATATCACATGGACATTATGCTACTGTAATTTAAAAATGTCGAGTAATTCTTGAATCTTGGCAGCAGCGTTCACCCCCACCCCCCACCAGTGCCTTCTTCCAGTCTTTTTTTTCTCCGGGGGGGAGGGGGGAGGGCAGGGAAACCCCTGAAATTTTTGTCGGGGGGGGGAGGGGGGTTGGGGCGAACTAAAATTTAAGAGGGGGGGGGGGGGAAACACTGTTAAAAGTATATATTTTCTATATAAATTCTATTTCGTTTGGGGGAAGGGGGGAGGGGAAAGAGGGGGTAGACGTTTTTGTTGAGGGGGGGGGGGGGAATATGCCCGTAAGAAACTCTGCCCCTCACCCCTCTTTCCCATTCACCGCTCTTTAATCGACTACAGAATCGTTACAGCTTTATCAACAAGAGTAAGGTTTTAATAAAACCTAACACGAATTTCTACAGTAAAATACGATGTTTGATACTTCACCCAAAATATATAATTGTTAGAAGTAGATAATAAATTAATAAGCACGCCAAACATTACAGTACAAAACAAATGGGTCCACCATTATGCTCTGCCATACAAACAATACACACACACATATTATATATATATATATATATATATATATATATATATATATATATATATATATATATATATATATATATATATATATATATATGCTCATCACTACATCACTAATGCAACTATTATTATTGATGTCAATGTTTATGTTTACACAAGTAAGTGTTACACAAACAACGAACACGGCTCAGTAGTGAGTCAGTCATTAGCATTTAATAAACTGCCAGCTACTTACTTACCGGTTAACTAGAACAATGTTCCGACTAGGTCACGCACAAGCCACGGCTGATATCACCGGCGGTTACTGCCGCTCGAGGATGCCCGTGTTTAAATACAGGACCAGCCCCCCTCTCTCCTACAGGGCCAGCCCCCTCTCTCCGCCTGGAATGCGACCTGCATGTTGGCGGCTCACACAGACGGCTGTTCGTCTGCACCTCTCTTGCACTCGGATGCTGAGTGTAAAAAATTTGGTTTTCCTAGAATTGTTTTGTTTTTCCAGAGATCCTGTTTGGAATAGAGAGATAGGTTAATTCAATCTTGTTATGTCCCGTTTAGTCCCAAGTAACAAGCGTATCGGTTGTAGTCTGAGTCAGAGGCGTAGCGACCCTTCCCGGCGCCCGGGGACAAACTTTCGATTTGCACCCCCTCGAACTTTTCATTTGCACCCCTCCCCCCTCGAACTTTTCATTTGCACCCCCCCTCTCTCAAACTTTCAATATGCCCCCCCCTAAGGTCGGCGCCCGGGGACATATGTCCCCCCCCCCCCGCTCCCCCCCCTCGTTACGCCTCTGGTATGAGTTAGTATCGCCAATTAACATTAAGTAGGGAACGTGCATATGATTGTTATATAACAGAATGGAAATTGGCGTTTTTATTTTTATTATGATGTGTTATTGGGTAGGGGTGTGATAATTAAATAACACTTCCGTTGATTTGAACTGTTTTCATTTTGCCACATAAAAAAAAATATGGTTGAATGAACACCACAGGCTAACAAGTTGTAATAAGTAAATATACCCTTTCGAACCTGGCGGCCCACGACTGACAGATGAAGTAGAGTGCACCTGTTTCTCCGACCTCGGCACTTGAAGTGAAACTGTGGTCGGCGCTATGCCCTGACACTTTGACTTTCCCAACGCGAGTCAGGTACTCATCAGAGCTGGGTGGACTAAGATTATTAGATCCTATACGTAGGTTTCTATCAGCTTTTGAGCGATTTCCGTACTACTTTACTCGGTTAGGTTTCTCAAAAACTGATAACTTGAGTACCATTTAGACAGAATTTCATATATAAGTAGGCTATTAGATCCTATGCTTATGTTTTAAAATTTTGAGCGATTGCCAGTAACCGAAGATTTGTAGTTCCCCTCTTCTCAAAAGTTTTATGTCATATTCTCATAAAGTAGCATATTCTGAGAACGTTTCGCCTGTCTGTTTCTTCGAAACGAGCGGTTTTGTCCCAAATCCATCTAATATTTTATACCCCGCCTGCACTGGAAGTGCCATCCCAATCTTTACACAATGTTACATACGAGAAAGTTAAGGGGAGCTCACTCCCGTTTAAAAAAAAAAATAAACAATGGTGGAGGATGTAAACAAATCTACCTACACAACAAGGCGGGAAGATAAAAAAAAAGGCTTTCTGTGACCTACATTGGCGCTCCCCGTTACATTCATGTATAAATAATAACCCAGGGATTCTCTTGCGGTTTAGCGCGTTTTGTTTTTACGCTTTCGTTTCTTTAGGGATCGTGCGTATATTATATAACACTTACAGCAGAGGCGTTGCGAGGGGGGGGGAAAGGGGGGTACATATGTCCCCGGGCGCTGACCTTAGGGGGCGCCAAAATGGGTTGGAAAAACAAATTGTAAATAGTTTGAGGGGGGGGGGTGTAAATCGACAGTTTAAGAGGGTCGCTATGCCTTTGACTTACAGTGTTGGGGTATCATTAGGGTATAATGTGGTGATGGAGAATGTGGTGATCAAGCAATGTTTTAGGCCGTTAACATGGCCAATGATTGATGATTTTTGTAGAGGGGATCTGGCAAACCATTTTTTTTTCTGTTGTATTACACTATTAAGTCTGTGCAATTTTTTTCAACTCATTGTTTACTATAAAATGATGTGATTGTGATTCCCATATGATATAACCTACATTAAAATAATTATTGTTTAGTACCTAATTGTGTCGCAATATGTGTGTGTGTGTGTTTGTGAGGGGGGGGGGGGTAGAAATGTTAGACGAAATATGGTGTGGATGGTTGTGGTAAAAAATGTGACTCTCGTGTTATTAAATGAGCATGCCTCCATAAAGGGCTGGGCTCGAGCCCATTTGAGTCGTTGAGTCCACTCAGCTATTGTGATTACCTGCCTCAAATTATTGAAAGTAAAGCTGCTGCGCATAATGTTGACCGCACTATCCCTTCATATGCCAAGGTCATTTAAACAGGGAACTCTACTTTACCTGCCCCGTGGACTATAAGGTTAAAAAGTGTACTTTACTTACGTACATATTCACTCCATAAGAGGCATCAATAAACGTGGCTAGTAAACAAAAGAAACTCTTCAAAGATCGCCAGTAGGACGTCTATGAGTGCTTATGTTGCTCATTTCTTTACCTTATGACTAAACATACATTTTGATATATTACATAAGTATAATCCGTTGATGTTTATACGTTATAACAAACGGAAAGCTATGCTTGCTGTTATGTTTTATCTAGTGTCAGTGTTAATTTACGAGGAAATGTGATGACAACTTTCCATCCCCCCCCCCCACACACACATGCATTGCTCTGAGAATGTTTCCGCTAACCGGAATTCAGGTTAAGAAATCATCAACTAGATGTCTGTATAGTAAAAGCAAAGTATCCTTTTTTATACGTGCTAAATATGCTATATAATATATATACATATATAGCCTATATATAGCCTATATATAGCCTATATATATATATATATATATATATATATATATATATATATATATATATATATATATATATATATATATATATCCTGTGGATAGAGGAAGCAAGTTAAATAAAAGCTTGTAAAAATGCTCTCCCTTCTCAGAACGTTTGAGAACCGCTCACTGGAGAGAAAACAAAACCGCTGACCTTAACATCTCGCGCCAGCCCGACCTGTGATTCAGGAGTTCAAGTGACATCATCCAGCTGCCGTCTGCCGGATTCCTTATCGCTAATTATCATAAAACAAGTAGCGGCGTTGCAGGGGCACCACGTCACATGCGATTGTAAATCTGGTATCAATCTACACAGGGGACACTACCCAGTGTTATCATTCCCTGTTTGTATTTTGAATTATCGGTGAGTTTGCGAAAAGTTCAGCGCAGCAGAGATGTCTGAGAAAAGGACTGTAATGTGTATGAACAAATCTCAAGGCTGAACGGACGGCGTGCTGGCGAAGTGTATGAGTGGGAGGAGGGGGGAGGAAATGGAGATGGAGATGAGAGGTTGTATCTCTCATGGGTGAATGGAGGTATGTTGTTTTATGAGTACGTGTGGTTATAGGATGGTGTATGTGTGTGTGCGGGAGGGGAGAGACTACGCTATAAAATACTATTATTATGCGTGGATTAAAAATAAAAACACCACCAAACAATAATCTAGCTCAGGGCGGGAGTCGCTGTAGTTTGGGACCAAGCCAAATTGTACCCAAGGGTTGTGACTATGTTAATTGTTTAGGCTATATTTAGCTGTAGTTTCCATGGAGACCTATAGTATAAAGTAACTCTCCGACTGTCGGAGATACTCGAAGACACCATCTTCTGTTTACATGAGGTTACGGTTGTCCCTCGGTTATCTAGGACCCAAGCCCGCGACAAGCAACCAACTACACATACATTGCCCTGCCAACTAACCCTTTTACTGAACAATTCATGTACAACCTCCCATTTAGCTCATGTGAGGCGAGCGTGGGGGGGGGGGGGGGCATTGGAAAAATGTGGTGTATAATAAACAAGGGCGAATTCCCTGAATGGTGTCTAATTTCCCCACATAATTCAGCCCCCCTCTATGTCACGCGACACATGACCAGCCACCAGAGTCGGGTTGAATAGGGCGTACAGTTACACAAGGCACTTGGATGAGTATTATAGTTACACGGGCCCGGAATGACTCTTTGTTTAGGACGGGACTGCTGTCTATTGCATAATTACGAGCGCTGGTGCCTCCCCCCACTCGTCAGTTTCATGCTTTGTATACATTATGCTTCACTCTTGGCAAATTGAGCAACCATTACGTCCCCACCCCATCACGAGCTGGAACTACAGCCTGTCAATTCGCTGCAGTGAGTTTCTCCCCCCCCCCCCCCCCATCAACGCTAGCTAAGCTAGAAGTTGATTGATTTGGGAAGAGGACACTCATCTATTTTTTTTCCGCTCTAAATAACAAACACTGTCACAATGGCCTCTTCCAAACAAGGAGATGTCAAGCATATTTCAGTAAACAACGTGACTAACTTAGATCAACAAAAACACTACACCACCGCCATATTGTACCAACGTGTCAGAAAATGGACTCTTCCAATGAACTATGAGGCGTTTACATAATTAGGGTTAAAGTTTGTTGTTGACATCAGTGATGTTTATGACAAAACATTTAAATGTTATTTAAAATAGTCTACTCATTGGCCCATGAGATACTTGGCTTTCAGGCCTGTTTTGATAATTAACAAATTTCATTGGTAAATAGTGCTGGCTGATCCAGTTTTTTCTATTCAAGTTGAATTTTAACCCTGAATTAGTTTTCTATACAAACCTCAGCTAGTTTTTCCATTCAATCTGTAACTAGGTTTCTATTCAATCCTGAGCTAGTTTTTCCATTCAATCTGTAACTAGCTTTCTATTCAATCCTAATCTAGTTTTTCTATTCAATCTGTAACTAGCTTTCTATTTAATCCTGATCTAGTTGTGAGTTGAAATGTAGCACCTATACTATTGAAACGTGTAATATTTCATAATATAAAGACAGATTTATCATGTTTATAACATTTTTTGAGCTGCTTCTCTAAAAAGAATAGTAATTCTTTATCATGATTTTTTATGTTTTTTACAGAGATTTCCTTCCCATAGGTTCAGGCATTGTGACCAGACGACCTTTGGTATTGCAGCTGATATACAGCAGAACAGGTACAGTAATACATAAAAAGCTCTTCAATTAAAATACATTGTATTGTTAGTCAATACAAGTTAATTATCATCTCTATTTACTCTGTAGAGTATGCCGAATTCATCCACTGCAAAGGCAAAAAGTTTACAGATTTTAGTTTGGTGCGGAAGGAGATTGAAGATGAGACAGATAGGGCTACTGGAGGTAACAAAGGCATCTCTAACATCCCGATCAATTTACGAGTATACTCTCCTAATGGTAAGATTATAATTATTTTTACAGTATGTTTTTAGGAATTACATTTTTTTGGACCTTTTTGTTGGCTCTGTGAACGGACCATTTTTGAAGGAATTGTAATAATATGCAGCATTTGAAAACAACACTTCCATACACTTTCGATTTAGTTATGATTTATATTGTGTTCTGTTTTGTCTGTTTTTCCAGATGTCTGTAATTATAATTCACTTTGCCATGGTAAAGGCTTGATTAAATGAATTCTTTTCCCAGTTCTCAACTTGACACTGATTGACTTGCCTGGTATGACAAAAGTACCAGTAGGAGACCAAACTCCAGACATTGAGCAACAGATCCGTGGGATGTTGATGGAGTTTATTACCAAAGAATCATGTCTCATTCTTGCAGCAACACCAGCTAACTCTGATCTTGCCAATTCTGATGCTCTTAAAATCGCTAAAGAAGTTGATCCTCAGGGTAGGTTATTTTTGTTTATTGGTTTTTAGCACTGGAATTAAACGGTTTTGATATTTTGTATACAAGTGCTAAGTAGTGCTTGTATATGTTGTTACATTTTTATCTAAGTAATTGTGATTTAAGACATGTTTTATGCCCTTTTTTGTTTTGTTTATAGCTAAAAAAAAATACTCATAATTTGGATAAACTATTGAGCTATTAAAAATAATACTGCCATTTTTTAAAATCAAAATGTATACTAATGATGCCATTACAATAGTGCTTTCTTAAAATCCTGAAATTTGTACCACTAGATGCATCATTCAATTCTTTGACATTCCAGGCATACGTTTAAGTTGATAAATCTCATATATGGGATAAATCAAAATATTGTTTTGCACTTTAGTAAAAGTCTACTTTTGATCTTATGGATCATTTAAATAATTTTATTATAATAACAAAATAACTTGTATATAAAAAAAAAAAAAAACTTATGCAACTTATTATATTTACATACATCAATATTGCACTTGAAAGTGTCTAGTGAGGTTTTGTATTAAAAGCTGATTGGCTGTTTACACAGACTGCTTACATACTGGCCAGATAAATCATACATGTGAAGACCAGATTAATTTTTAATATTTGTAAATTATTGAGCTGTTCAGTACAACTATATTTTAGTCTTCCAGACAAGTGAACACAAATTAGATAAAAACAAAGCTGGGTAAATAATAAACCAATTGGTGGATTGATACAATGAGATAATTGAAGCAATGGTGATAAGAAAAAACTTTAAATTCTCAGTTCTTTTTGAATTCTTGCACACATTTAACACTCTCTTGCCCTCCAAACACTGTAGTCTGTGGAGCAAGAATAACAAAATATGAATTCTTGAGGATATAGAACAGCATAAAATATATAGCCCAGAGATCAAGAATAGCTTTAAATATGTAGCCCAGAGATCAAGAACAACATTAAAATAATATGTAGCCCAGAGATCAAGAATAGCATTAAATATTTAGCCCAGAGATCAAGAATAACATTAAAATAATATGTAGTCCATAGATCAAGAATACCATTAAATATGTAGCCCAGAGATCAAGAATAGCATTAAATATGTAGCCCAGAGATCAAGAATAGCATTAAAATAATATGTAGCCCAGAGATCAAGAATAACATTAAATATGTAGCCCAGAGATCAAGAATAGCATTAAATATGTAGCCCAGAGATCAAGAATAACATTAAAATAATATGTAGCCCAGAGATCAAGAATAGCATTAAAATAATATGTAGCCCAGAGATCAAGAATAGCATTAAATATGTAGCCCAGAGATCAAGAATAGCATTAAATATGTAGCCCAGAGATCAAGAATAACATTAAATATGTAGCCCAGAGATCAAAAATAACATTAAATATAATATGTAGCCCAGAGATCAAGAAAAGCATTAAATATGTAGCCCAGAGATCAAGAATAACATTAGATAGGTAGCCCAGAGATCAAGAATAACATTAAAATAATATGTAGCCCAGAGATCAAGAATAGCATTAAATATGTAGCCCAGAGATCAAGAATAGCATTAAATATGTAGCCCAGAGATCAAGAATAACATTAAATATGTAGCCCAGAGATCAAGAATAACATTAAATATGTAGCCCAGAGATCAAGAATAACATTAAATATGTAGCCCAGAGATCAAGAATAACATTAAATATGTAGCCCAGAGATCAAGAATAACATTAAATATGTAGCCCAGAGATCAAAAATAACATTAAATATAATATGTAGCCCAGAGATCAAGAATAGCTTTAAATATGTAGCCCAGAGATCAAGAATAGCATTAAATATGTAGCCCAGAGATCAAGAATAACATTAAAATAATATGTAGCCCAGAGATCAAGAATAGCATTAAATATGTAGCCCAGAGATCAAGAATAGCATTAAATATGTAGCCCAGAGATCAAGAATAACATTAAAATAATATGTAGCCCAGAGATCAAGAATAACATTAAATATGTAGCCCAGAGATCAAGAATAGCATTAAAATAATATGTAGCCCAGAGATCAAGAATAGCATTAAATATGTAGCCCAGAGATCAAGAATAGCTTTAAATATGTAGCCCAGAGATCAAGAATAGCATTAAATAGGTAGCCCAGAGATCAAGCATAACATTAGATATGTAGCCCAGAGATCAAGAATAGCATTAAATATGTAGCCCAGAGATCAAGAACGACATAAGATTTGTAGTCTGAGGATAAGAGCAACATTGTATATGTATTCGCATTTCAACCTGATACCAAAGAAAATCTATGCAAAATCAACAGCATTTGTTCATCTCTCATTTTAATTCGTATGAATCAGGAGTTATCTAACCTACCGCTTTCATTTTATTTCCAGTTACTTCCCTTGTCGTCTTCCATGTTGCCCCTTCAGCGCTGCTATAGTTTTCCACTAGACCAGATCCTGTTAATTCAACCGTACACTAGTTTTGAAGATAAACATTTTAAAAAATATTTTAAAGTACATTAAAACTTGAAACAAATATAAAAAGTTAGTTGAAATGAATTTTTACATTTTATATAAATAGTTTGTAAATAACCTACTGTAATTTAAATAACTGACCGTTTGAAGTAATAAATCTAGAGCTGTACTAACCTTGGCCTTAACCCCACTTAATCCCGTGTAATCGAATGGTTCTCCTAACTTAAAGTTAAATTCCATCTTGACGACACCATAGTCCACAAGACACCTGTTTACACATTTAAATATATATATATATATATATATATATATATATATATATATATATATATATATATATACATATCAGAAATCTGGTAGCTTGTGACGTAGATATTTGATTAATGGTTTCCAACAAATAACATTAAACTTATTGAGACCTATGTTTGGAAATGAAGGGGGGGGGGGGAGGGATTAGAAAGTGGTACAATAATGGAAATTGTTAAACATCAAACCTGAGCAGTTATTTTGCCTTACACTTACAGTTTTAGAGTAATTTTTTTTTTTGAAATTGAAATCGATAAATTAACTAATCTTGACCCATTGTTGGAGATTAAAGTGTTTATTGAGGGATGCGAGTCTCATAATATGTTTTGTTGAAATGTGGTAGTCAGTAGAAAAAGGAGGGGGGGGGGGAGGTAAACAGTTTTTAAAAAAAAACAGATATAAATTATGGACGACAATTTTGGGTTATAGCTTATAAATAGCAGCTGTAGTGCGCAAATTTTTTTTGTGTCGCTTTTTGAGTACTTTTCGAATGTTGGATGATTTTGCACGAATAGCCCAAGAGTATGCGAGTAACTGTTTAGAAATCTGATAATTTTACTGTTATGTAATTATTATAACATTGTTTTTTTTATATCAACGAAAGCAAAGTCTTCAATGGCTTTGTTGTATTATTTTACAACTTCCGGATAGCCTCTCGCTACAGTTTTTACGGTTCCCAGAAAGAAGCGCAACGGAAAAACCGCAACAGAAAAAAGCGCAAAACAAAAAGCGCAACGAAAAAAAGCGCACACGGAAAAAAGCGCACACGGAAAAAAGCGCAAAGAGAAAAAAGCGCACACAGAAAAAAGCGCAAACGGAAAAAAAACGCTAGAAGAGATGCCTGGAAGAAACTCTGGTGGTTAACAAAGCTAACAGCGTATCTTTTTACTGCAAGTGTAACAGTTAGAGGGTCATACGTGAACAAGGATATGCAATTTTAGCTCATTTCTACCGACCTTCAGACGGCGTTACAAAAAAGCCCCCCCCCCCCCCCACACACACACCCTCCTTTAAAATGCCGTCTATTTCAACTCCACATAAAATACCATAAATAATGCAAAAAAATTAGAAAGGTTTCCACGGTTTTTATTTTCTAAGATTACAGAAATTTTGCTGAGTCGTCTCAGTTCGTACGAGGAAAATCCCGGTTGGTATCCACGATAAATCCCCACCCCCCGCCTAGTGGGCTGCCAGGATTGTTGCTATAATAATAAGCCTATTTGACTTTTAACATTTTTATATTTTATCAACCCCTCCGTTTTTTTCATGTCGCTATTGTTGTATATTGGAATTTGGCTGGGGGGGGGGGGGGGAGAACAATTGCACTAAAAAAATGATAGCCGCTATTATTTTGTTTTCCGGGGCGCTTAGACACAGCCAGTCCTCGCCTGCATACACATAGCAAAACCTCATAAAAAATCCAACAGCCCAACCGTTATGACATCATTGATGGACGACCCCCCCCCCCCTTTTAGTGCTTGGTGGGGTTCAAATCAAAGCTTGGACAAGGGAAAGTGGGCCTACTAAGGCACAGGGCGTTTTCCTATAGCATGTTTAATTCGATCTATAATTTCAATGGTGATATTCATTTTGTTAGTAGAAAAGGTAAAATGAAATGCTAGAACCATTGAAGTTCGAATTAAAATAAATCAGTTCAAAATTAAAATATATGTGTATAGCTACAGCAGCAATAATTGGTAACCTTTCTTAGGCTACTTGGTTTTATCTTGAAAGTAAGGCTTAATGGTTGGTGACCTAATCAAGCCGAATTAGACGACGTATATTGAAAGTGAATAAAACGAGTTAATGTGTTGACGATAGTGTGAATAGAAAGATACGTGGATAATGATCTTTATCTAGTATTTATTTTGGTGAATTCTTTACTCCGTAGTATACAGTGTTTCTTCCGGACGATTTTCTCCGGGGGGGGGGGGGCACTTGAAATTTTCGGGGGGGGGGGTAGACTTTCTTCGGGGGGGGGGGCGGACACTGTTAAAAGTATATATTTTCTGTATAAATTATATAAATTTCATTTCGTTCGGGGGGGGGGGGCGGTAAAAATATTTCGGGGGAGCTTCGCCCCCCCCCCCCTGAAGAGATGCCTGGAAGAAACTCTGGTAGTATATTATAATTATCCAGATTTGGTATTTCCATCTCGCTTATCCCGCGGGCGTTCATGACATTTGTAACAGTCAAATGTAGATGAATGTATGTTTCGAGTATGTGTCTTAAAAAGGCGATATAAATCTAAAATAGAGTGTGGGTATGCGCATGCGCTAAGGAAATGAAGCAGAGGGGTAGAGAGCGGGAAGGAAACGGTGATGTTTTGGCAGTGAAGGCGTTGTATCAATGAACGAATAAAATCATGAACATTTCCTGGACGTGGGTTGTTTAGTGGTATAAATCAGACTGTAATATGTAATAACAAAGGAGGAGAGAAGAGAGCGGTCGGTATTTGTTTTTTGGAGTTTGTGCCATGATTGGCAGCAGAAAAGGCCGTGACAACATTATGCTCTCATCTTTTTATCATTTTCGACATTTGACAGACCAAGACCGATAACTCTATCATGACGTCCAATATGTCCAGGTTTGATTATCTCCATGTGATATTCCCTAAACTAACATTATTTGAGCGCTCAACCCATTATTGACATTACCTATTTCCATCTCCTGACGCCTCGATCAGTAACGTATAACCCGTTGTAGAAAATACTTGAATTTTATCTTCTGTCCATCCTGTGAATAAAAAAAAACACCATTTCAAATGATCAAAGTATTAATAATCGGTATTTCAACTCGTATGAAATATTTGACACAATGGTGTCGTTATGATCAGTCTTGTTTTTTTTTTTTTTTTAATTAGTGGGCAATGTGCTTGTATTTCCTTTTTTTAGTTATTTTTTTTAAACATGCTCTCTCGAGCAAGCTAGGCCGAACATAGCGGTTTCTTATATTATGAAATCTAATTGAACAATAGATAAAAAATACCAATTTGATATTAAACGTTTAACCTTCGTAAAACACAGGTAAACGTATACACCACCTTCTCTTCCCAATTCTCCTGCCCTCCATTCCCCATTAGCTAATGCTCCGGTTTTAACATTTTAAAACATTCATTTATACCTTTACCCCTAGGCTAGCTCTTTACTGTCTACAGGTAAACAGTAACTTTTGTGTTACTCGATAATCCGCTCTTGGATAATGGAGGAATGTTAATGAAAGAGATAATTGGAAACAGCTGTGGAAATGCTTACTATTTAATAATAATCATTAAAAAGTTTTAAAAAACCCACGTTTTCTGATTGAACTAAAAAGTAGAAAATAAATGCTATACATCACAATAATGCAAGCGATCACTCTACTATAAGCGATCAAAAACGTGGGGCGCCGTGATTTTCTTACAGTTTCTAATACTATTGACTTTTATTAGGGAGCTTGTAGACTAGAACACATAGATTTGAACCCGCGCCGAGTGGGATAGCAATCGTGTGCCCAACCACTCGACCATATCGTCTCCCCCATACTGGCCACCAGTTGTTACGTTCTGGTTGTTTGTACACAAACACCGCGTGACAACTACTCAGTAAGCAAAAAGAGGGAGAGTCCCGAACCTTGTTTTCATCAAATTACAGTTACTGGGTTATGTCCCTTTTCCCCCACGTTTTTGTACAATTATATAGCGGCCTAAAATGATCAATAAAATGTTTCCTTTGATCAATTTAGTAATAATAACAATTGAATATTCTATGGTCATCGGAAACAAAGCTTCCCTGAAAATTTCAGCGCGCTAGCTGACCGGGAAGTGCCCGAAATTTTGATCGCAAGATTTGATTGGAGAACCAAACAGACGCGAAAGCAAGTTAAAGAAAACGTGGGAAAAATGCGCTACAACTACTACTAGTCTATTACATAATTTATACCAAAGAAACGTGGTTCCAATTCCCAAGCCAAAAATTACTTACTGAAAAGCTTTCCGATCTCAGCGATTCCAGATGTCTTGCTAAGATCAACCGTCCAAAGACCGTAAAAAGCTTCCATTTTATGCTGATGCGATGTGGACAAAAAAGTATGATATTTTTAGCGCAATTTCCATTCTGGAGAATTGCGTTTATTAACCCGTCAATTCTGGATGGATGAATGGATGGATGGATGTATGAATGTATGAATGTGTGTCCGCAGCTTTAAGTCGTATCTCCTCCTCAACGAAGCAATATCGATGACTAGTACCAAAAGCGATTATGTTAAGCAAGTTACGAGGATGAGCATATGCCATAAAAATTCCGGGTTTCTTTCATGGATTTCCCGGAAAAGCCAAAAAACCTCGAAAAAATGCAGTTTTTGGCCCATATCTCAGCAACCAGACCACTTAGCGACTTGAAACATGTACCAATCGATTCCTGCCATAATTTAGAACAATATTGCCGAAGAAAGTTTTCAAAAATATCATTTCGTTCGGTCACAAAAAATTTTTTGAATTAATTAAAATTTGGACCGAATTAGTAGGCATTTTATGCAACCACACCACATGCGTCATCACGTTCAATAGCTGCGCGATCACGTTCAATGGCTGCGACGTCACGTTCGGTAGCTGGGCGCGCAATGGTTTTTAGTCATGTTACTCTATTGTAAATAAAACATGTAAAATACTGAATTTTTTTAAATAAAAAACGTTTTAATAACTAACCAATGGTTTTACTAGCCCTGCTCTTGATTTACGCTACGACAGAGCTATTTTTAGATAACACAAGGAAATTGCGCTAAAATTGTCACTAGACTTTTTTTAATTACTTGTTTTGTTTCAACCGTGTAAAGAAATAAAGGAAGAAAAATACTAAAATACGCGCTAAAACTAGGTGGAGGGTCTTCTTCTTCTTCTTCTTCGTTCTTAATTATTAGTGTTGAAGGGGATCGAGATTTATCTGCCAGTGGGTTTGAACTCGAGACTTTGTTCGAATTTATCAACCATGAACTTTTTGCCGACTCGACCATGCCTCCAACACACTTAAGCGTTACGTGTCAACTGGTTATGCGCCATTAAGGCCATTGACTCCAATTTCAGCCTGCTTTTCTTATTGGATTTGCTTCCATAGCCTTTGTCCAACCAAGAACAAACTACAAGGCAGCAGTTGTTTAATTTTGGAGTTGTCTCTCCTAGAAGAGTGGCTGTTCCCAGCCTGCTTTTCTTATTGGATTTGCTTCCATAGCCTTTGTCCAACCAAGAACAAACTACAAGGCAGCAGTTGTTTAATTTTGGAGTTGTCTCTCCTAGAAGAGTGGCTGTTCCCAGCTAACGAGCCTCATCTGCCCGAGGGTTCGAACTCAAGCTTTACCGACTCGACCACGCCGACCCCTGGTGGAGGGTCTGTTTTACTTTATTTTAAGAACCCGCTCCTTACATAAAGTGGGACGGGGTGGCCTAGCGGTAGAGAGCTGGACTGTTAACGCGTAAGTCACGAGTTTGAATCCGGATATATATATATAATTTTTTTTATTTATTTATGGGTAGGTGGGTAAGTGGGTGGGTAAGTTGTTAGGTGGGTATGTTGGTAGATGTGTGGGTGGGTAGTTAGGTAGGTGGTTGGGTATTTGTGTAGATGATATGCACATTTTCATTTTTCTAGCTTAGTGACAGTGTTACAAAACTCGAATTTTAAACTGGTTTGGCGTAAGGTTAGTTCATTGATCCTGTTGAGCCCTACATTACATAGTTAATCAGTTTAACAATGTATCTGCAATTGGAGTAGGTGTAAGTCAAAGCCTGGTGTTATTATAAAACGTCATCTCTCTTTGTTTCTTTATAAAAAGGTTATGGAAGGTTTTTAAAGGTATTTTACTGAAATGTTTACCGGACGAATGCAAAATGATATAAACAACCATAGTTTTTCTGTTATATAGGCTACATGCAGTGTTTCTTCCACACTTGTTTCCGGGGTGTGGGGGGGGGGGGGGATTTTCGGGGGGGGGGGGGGAGCGGACACTAGTAAAAGTGTATTTTTACTTTGTAAATTCCATTTCGTTCGGAGGGGGGGGGGGGGCGGTAAAAGAGATGCCTGGATGAAACTCTGGCTACATGCAGTCCATTATGCTGTTCAGTACATGTTAACACGTTTTTATTAACTCAGCTTCGCGTGTGTTTGTTGTTAAAATTGACATCGAAAATTAGCCCACTTCTGATTGCTCTATAGATCTGAAATTTGGCATGTAGGCTACTTTCGCCTAACAATTTCAGATGCAATCATAAAAACTAGCAATTTGAGACCGTAATTAGCTTAATTTAATTACGCCCCAAGGACCATAAAATTGAGGACATGATTTCTAAAGATACCGACAAGACTGGAGGCCTATTGACACAGTTACTTCGGCCCCAATCGATGTGAGCGCGCTAGCCGTGATCGTATAGTGGTTAGTACTTCGCGTTGTGGCCGCGATAACCCAGGTTCGAATCCTGGTCGCTCAATATTTTTAGTCCGTGTATTTATAAACACTTAGTCAAGTCATACTTAATCAAGTCATTAGATAAAGTAGAAAATAAACTATATAAAAACTTTTTTAAAAACCACGTTTTTCATGTGTAGCAACGGACTAAAAAGGAGAAAATAAAATACTTAAAAAAAACTTTTTAAAAAAACCACGTTTTTCTTGTGGACTAAAAAGTAGAAAATAAATTTTCATACATTTGATGACAAAAAACGTGGGTCGGGCAGATGGGTCGGGAAATTTGATGGTGAACGTACCCACGTTTTTTGTCATCAAATGTATGAAAATTTATTTTCTACTTTTTAGTCCACAAGAAAAACGTGGTTTTTTAAAAAGTTTTTTTTAAGTATTTTATTTTGGTTGGGGTTAGGATTGTTACATATAAGTATTCGCATAGATTTAGAGTAGCGTCCCTTTGGTTTACATGTTTTCATTACCCTTCAAACAAAAGTCTATATTAGTTATATTGAGATTAAAGAATGTAAATGAATAGTACACACTATTCTGTAGAATAGGAACGATTGGGAGGGGCATTTAGCGCAGGAAAATTAGAGGTTAGTTAGGGTATAATAAATGGTGGGGTTAGGAAACTTAAGGGGTCCATTCTCTAATAGGCAGTCTATGTCTCTTTCGTACTTTCGTGTTGGTTTATTGTCGAACCTGTCCTCACCTCGCATTACAACAGCTGGGTGACGCTTACGTGTAATGTTAAAATAAATAGCATGTAATTGCGTTAGTTCAAAGTGAGTTTTCATACAAGCCCAACGCACTAATTAAGGTTGTCGCAAAATGTAATATATATGTAACATATGTCAATGATGTCAATGAATTTTCATTAAAAAAAAAAGATGTCTAGTACAGTTTACGAAACTAACGAACTTCGCCGATACTTTTTTGGTGGGTAGGAGGGTAAGTGGGTAGGCGGGTAGGTGGGTAGGTGGGTAGGTATGTAAGTGGGAAAGTGGGTAGGTGGGTAGGTAGGTAGGTAGGTAGGTAGGTAGGTAGGTAGGTGGGTAGATAGGTAAGTGTGTAGGTGGGTAGGTAGGTAGATGGATAGTAGGTAGGTAGGTGCGTCATGATGTGAAAAAAAAAATACATAATGGACACCAGCGAGAAAAGTCTCAAAGGTATTTGAGAGGTGTATAAATTCATTTTAAAATCTTGCACGGCGTAGTTACAATTAATATGGTTATAAAATCCTGTCTGTCTGGTTTTTTTCGGACTTTACTAAAGATTGGATGTATTTGATGTTTTTAATATTTTCGGTAACTAAATAAAAATAAAAAAAAAAAGAAAAAACTATTTGGTTTTCACGTGTAATGGCGACATAAACAATGGCCGACATAAGTTTTATTGTACACATTGTAAGCTAAAAATAGAAACAATAGGTCATGGTGTTTAAATTTGCATAGTTATTTAAAAATTTGATCTGCAAAGTTTTGTAAACAAAATAACTATAAAGTGGGGCTGTCAGAAATCGATCACGGAGTTCCTTTACAGCCAATCAATGTTTGTCTTACGAAAGTGAAACATCGGGTTATAACTTAGGCTTGATGAAAATAAATAGAAATGTAGCCTTAAACTCAACAAATTATTTTCAAGTTCTCTGGATCTGCAACTTGTATAGCATTGATTCTAAAAATATTACATTTCTGAATTAATTTTAGGCTTTAGTTTTTAATAAAATTTTATCTTTTATTAGTTTTATGGTCCTAAATCTAAAAAAGCACATTTTTATTCCATGTCAACAATATTACGGAAGGAATCTCGTCAACTCGCTGGTGTCCATTGTTATTTTGGTGCGAATGAATGTTGTTACGAGAGATATGACAAATGCATGCTTGATGACGCGGATGAGTGAAGTTTTGCCATAGGAACGGGTTGTTATGGTATGCAAGCTAGGTAGTTCGGACATTCGGGAGAATGTGAGAGATACTTCGTGTAATGTCGATATCAAGGATAGTTTTATGTTTATTTATACGAGAATAGTAGTTGAATAATTATTGACCAAGAAAATAATAGGCATTGTGTAAATCGATTATCGCCTGTATCGTGGTGATGGAAACGCACACGGTAGTGGTACGCTTTAAATGGTAGAAGATCACGACACTCTCACAGCAGCCCTAACAGTCATGTATAAATGTGTCATCTATTCGATATAGGTCTTTGTGCTAGATTTCTCTTTTGCACATTTTTCGTTTTTGTTTTTTTCTGGTTGCGCATTTTTCTGTTTGCGCTTTTTTCTGTTTGCGCTTTTTTCTGTGTGCGCTTTTTTCTGTTTTTGATTTTTTCCGTTTGCGCTTTTTTTCTGATTGCGCTTTTTTCTGTGTGCGCTTTTTTCTGTGTGCGCTTTTTCTGTGTGCGCTTTTTTCTGTTTGCGCTTTTTTCTGTTTGCGCTTTTTTCTCTTTGCGCTTTTTTCTGTGTGCGCTTTTTTCTCTTTGCACTTTTTTCCGTGTGCGCTTTTTCTGTGTGCGCTTTTTTCCGTTGCGCTTTTTTTCCGTTGCGCTTTTTTCCGTTGCGCTTCTTTCCGGTCACCGCTCTAATCTATCTATCTATATATATAAAA